ATCTGGAACCCAGACAGGGATGCCCACTCTCCACCACTGCTATTCAATATAGTTCTGGAGGTTCTAGCCAGAGCTATTAGGCAAGAAAAAGAAATTAAAGGGATACAAATTGGGAAGGAAGAACTCAAACTATCACTCTTTGCAGATGACATGATTCTGTATTTAGGGGACCCAAAGAACTCTACTAAGAGACTATTGGAACTCATAGAAGAGTTTGGCAAAGTAGCAGGGTATAAAATCAATGCACAAAAATCAACAGCCTTTGTATACACAGACAATGCCATGGCTGAGGAAGAACTTCTAAGATCAATCCCATTCACAATAGCTACAAAAACAATCAAATACCTTGGAATAAACTTAACCAAAGACGTTAAAGATCTCTACGATGAAAATTACAAAACCTTAAAGAAAGAAATAGAAGAGGATACCAAGAAATGGAAAAATCTTCCATGCTCATGGATTGGAAGAATCAATATCATCAAAATGTCCATTCTCCCAAAAGCAATTTACAGATTCAATGCAATACCAATCAAGATACCAAAGACCTTCTTCTCAGATCTGGAAAAAATGGTGCTGAAATTTATATGGAGGCACAAGAGACCTCGAATAGCTAAAGCAATCTTGTACAACAAAAACAAAGCCGGAGGCATCACAATACCAGATTTCAGGAAGCCAATTTGAAGGAGAAAAACTGAATTCTATTTGGAGAAATACAATTTCTAGAGTTTATGAAGTTACAAAACAATAATATGTACCCCCAAATCACAACGTATGCAAGGAAATAACTTACTGAGAGTGCAAGACAGTTGAAAAAAGCAAAGCGTGTTTGCTCAAATATGAAATACTGAAATTGTGAGACACAAATTCACTTACCATGGTAAAAGAAACTAAAGAGAAGCTTTAAACATGAGCAAGAATAAAAACTCTAAAATAATAGTAAATACTCTAGAAATTAAAAATGAAATAGTAAAATAATTTATGAATGTCTAAATAGATAGTTAAATCGAGAGTTGGAAAATTCAGTTATGGCTGTAGAAATTGTATGTAAAACAAAGTAGAAGTGAAGATGATGGAATAATCGGGGGGTTATGAGCATGACATAATCAAATGATAAGTTCTAGCATGCATCGGACTGAAGACCCAGCCGATGTTCAAATATGGCTTCTTCCTTCCTCTGCTCTTTGATTTCCTTATTGTCCTCTTTCAAGGCGATTGAAGATTTTTCACAATTGTTCAAAGTCACCAACCTTTACACAAGAGAAATCCAGTAAAACTCAGGTGATACAAAGAAAAAGAATTTTACACCTTGAAAAACTAATCAAACTGAAGCAAGGAAGAACAAAAGCTCTTAAAAGAATTGCGATTATATTGTGACTGACTTCCTAATAGTGTTTCGGAAAGCCAGAAGATTCTCACTAAGCTGACTCTAAAGGAAGCACTTCAAGTGTTAGAAAAGTGACCTCAGACAGAATTTTGGAATGAAACAAAAAAGGATTCTGTAGGTATTGCTAAATGTGACACAAGAGTAGTGATGCTTAATTTATGAGTAATAAAACAGGCTAGAAAAAATAATTTGGAAGACAGTAACGGGAGCCCATGTTGGCAGCTTGAATATTATTTCAAACATATATGGAACTGTATGAAAATTAATTTTGTGTTCAACTCTTAAGATTGCTTTGCAAGTGTTTAAAGGATCAGTATCACATAGATTTCATTTTCTTACTTTAATGCAGTTTAGAAAGCAATAACCATGAAAACAAAAAACCAGAAATTCTAGGTATATGGAGAATTTTAAGACATTACATATAAGATAAATTAAAACATTTAAAGCCAAATGAAAATAAGAATTCTTTACATCAAAACTTAAACTAGATTTTTACACTTGATGCTAGCCAAAAGGCCGAGAAGGAAGTGCAACTTCATTTTCAAAAGGTTTATTTTATTTATTTAAAAGGCAGCATTACAGAGAGAAAGAGAGGGAGAGGCAGAGAGCAAGAGGTCTTCCATCCTCTGATTCACTCTCTAAATGATGGCAACAGATGGTGCTGGGCCAGGCCAAAGCGGAAGGTGGGAGCTTCTTCCTGGTCTCCCACACAGGTGCAGGGGCCCAAGCACTTGTACCATCTCCTCTTTCCCAGGGGTATTAGCAGGAAACTGTATCAGAACTGGAGCAGCCAGGACTCGTGCCAGTGCCCATACGGGATGCTGGTGCTGCAGGCAGTAGTTAACCCGCTACGGCACAGCACTGGTGCAGTAAAACTGTTGACACTACCGTAAATGCTGAGTCACTGAACAAAATAACTAAATGACACAAGAATGCATATGCTTTGTGTTCATTTATATAAATTTCAAAAACAGGAAAGACATACCATATATTGTATTTATTAACAGGGTTGCTGAGGTATTAAAGAAGAGTAAGGGAATTATTAATGAAAATCTGAGAATGGCAATTTCTTCTGCTGAGAAGGAAGAAGGAGGCACTCACTTGAGAAGGGGCATAAATGTAATTCTAATTCCTGGTGGTTCTCTGTTAAACGTTTGTTCTTTAACCTATACACTTGATTGGAGCTCAGATATGACCCTTCATTGTGGCCCTTCCATAAGTTTTATAAACCGCAGCAGAAGTGACAACATAATGTACTGTCTGGATTGGACAGGACTGGAGCTGGTTAGTCTCTTGGTACTGAGGATTTGTTCCTTGGGGATCAGGAACCTGGATCTGGCCTTGGCTTCCCTCTTCTGGGGCAATGATGCCGTTTCCTTCTAGGTCAAGTCGCCTGGGCTCAAGATGCTGTCTCTCTGGTCCCCACTCAGCAAGGTGGAAGTCATGGCTGAATGTGTTTGTGATCTGAGGACTTTATCATCAGGATGATCTCTCCAGTCTTTAAGCTTTTAATGGGCTGAACACCTAGTAATGACCTTGTTAGGAATAGAATCCCTCAATTCTTAAAAAATTAGGCAGATGATCCTGTGTAGAGAAATCCTGAATTTGTCTTGGAGAGGAGTTTTTACTGAAATGAGGCATGCGTAGGACAAAGCATTCCTCATGGCAGTGACCCCCAGAGCTGAGAGGTGGAAGCACTGGCGCGGCCAGCACAGCAAGCAGGGACAGCAGGAGGAAGCGTGGGGACAGAGTAGATGGAAAAACAGCCAGGCCAGGCAAGAGGCCCTCCCAAAGCATGTCTGAAATTACCCAGCATTTAACAGTTTTCATTCTGGAGGTATTAACAACAAACTCAACCACAATTTGAAAATCTCTGTTCTGGTCAGTGTGATGAGTGTGCAGGAAAGTTGTATGCTTCAGTTAAGCACATAGTATTTCTGAAATAATTGCAGTTGAGGCCAAATCCCTCTGCAGAAAGAAAAAATTAACTTTGAGCTAAGGTGCAGTGATTATAAGTTATTGTTGGCTGTTTGTATACTGTTATTTTCAAAAGGTTTCCCCTCAACTTTTCATTAATAATTTGTAAAAAAAAATGATACTAGATAGAACAAAAAAATGATATATAGTATTCCTCCAGACCTATTAATCTATTCATGCGAAAGGCAGGACCTGAGAGAGAGAGAGAGAGAGGGGTCCCATCTGCTGGTTCACTCTCCAAATGTCTGCAACAGCAGGGGCTAGGACAGGCTAAAGCCGGGAGCCAGGAATTCTGTCCAGGTGTCCCACATGGGTCACAGGGTCCTAAGCATTTGGGCCATCTTCTGCTGTATTCCCATGCACATTAGCAGGAATCCGAATTGGAAGCAGAGCAGCTGAGACACAAACCCACACACCAGGATGGGATACTGGCATTCTAAGCGGTGGCTTAACCTGCTGCACTGGTCCCAAAATAATAAAAAAAAAAGTTTGTTGCAGGCATCTCTTTGTCTCCAGTTTTGTCTTGAAAGCAGTACCATAAGTAGTACCATAGGTTCTTGCATGTTTGCCCCATCTTGTTGAGACGGGACTGTTGGACTCAAGATTTCCTTGTGTCCTGCCATGTTGTGTTTTCAAGTTGCTCAGTGTCAGTGAAGTTGTTCACTGAAATGAAGCTCAGTTGCACCATACTCATGTACCTCTGTTGATTCATAAATCCCTTCTGATTAGATATCTATGAGGTTTGGTTTGCAGTTTTCAAAAGTCACAGGTGTGAGAGAATGGGTACAAAAATGGACAATGGAAAAGCCAGATACAACAATAGAATTCTGACTTCAACCTGCAGCAAGCAGCCCAGGACAGCAGTGTATCATCTGCAGTAACCGTCCCAACCACAAGTAAGACTTGCAGGATGTCCAGTTGCTATCTTAGTTAGCACTCCAAGAAGCCCAGTAATAGCCCTTGTAACAATGTGCCCTGCATTGCCAGGACCTGATTAATAATGGACAGCTTCTCTAATTTTCCCCTATGTCTCCAGCTTAGAACCAGCCAGAGAAAGCCCTAACCAATTATGAAGAATTCCCAGTATCTAACGAGTCCTCCTACAGCTTCCCCAGGCCAACACCCTGCAACTGGGGCTTACCCTTTTTTTATTTTTAGAATTGTTTTATATTTTTGAAGAAGTTAGAGAGAGATCGACCCAGAGAGAGGTCTTCCATTCTGCTAGTTCACTCCCCAATGACCTCAATGGCCAGACCTGAGCTGATTTGAAGCCAGGAGTGAGGAGCCTCCTCCAGGTCTCCCACACAGGTGCAGGGGCCCAAGGACTTGGGCCATCTTCTGCTTTCCCAGGCAACAGCAGAGAGCTGGATCAGAAGAGGAGCAGCCGGGACTTGAACTGGTCAGATCCTTCAAGCACCAGGCATTTTTCCTTTAAAGATATTTAAGTGACTTCATCAAATTAATACTAATCTCTTTAAATACAGTGGAAGGTTCCCAAGGGCTGGAAGTGTGTATTTTGCTCACCATCATATTCCGAGATCCTAGCCAGGCACATAAGAGATGCTTATTCAGTTTCTGCTGATTTGACAAAATACTGATGGCTACACTACCTCTTTGTACAGAAAACTTAAAATAGGGTCTAGAAATGGTTGTCACCAGGAGCCTTCACCTTGTCTGTCCAGTCCATGAATTTAAGACTCACACATGATCTCATTGGAAATCCCCTGCTGACTTCCTGTGTTCTCCAGGAGTGTCTTCATTCCTCCCTAGGAAGGACAGACCTTTCAGACTCAGGGTACATAGTGCTTCCTAGAGGCTGAGTGGGGTCCTCTGTGGCCCTTGTGCCTTGTCCACACTTCTGTGCATTTTGCTGCAATTTTCTGTATGCGTCTTCTCCCGTCGAGATCCTCAGTCCCTCAAAACAAAAGCTGATGTTCTGTTCATCTGAGTACTACATAACCTGTAATTACTGAGCACAGTTGGTGGTTACTGTGTGCTGCGCAGGTGCCAACAGATCCTTCCTATTATTGCACTTAATCTCACAATAGCCCTGTGAATTCAACGGCTTTATCTTTGCTGTCTCCATGAGTCTGATACAGATGAGGAATCTCACCAAAGATCCCATTTCAGGTAAATAGCAAAGGTAAGCTTTAGATTGAGACGTGTCATACTCTAAGTTCTCTAACCTGAACTCAAGGCTGTGTTAAAAATCAACTCTAGGCAGGCGCCATGGCTCAATAGGCTAATCCTCCACCTTGTGGCGCCGACACACCGGGTTCTAGTCCCAGTCGGGGCGCTGGATTCTGTCCCAGTTGCTCCTCTTCCAGGCCAGCTCTCTGCTGTGGCCCGGGAGTGCAGTGGAGGATGGCCCAAGTCCTTGGGCCTTGCACCCGCATGGGAGACCAGGAGAAGCACCTGGCTCCTGCCTTTGGATCAGCATGATGCGCCGGCCGCAGCGCGCCGGCCGCGGCGGCCATTGGAGGGTGAACCAACGGCAAAGGAAGACCCTTCTCTCTGTCTCTCTCTCTCTCACTGTCCACTCTGCCTGTCAAAAAAAAAAAAAAAATTTCAACTCTAGGGGTGGGTGTTTGGCCTAGAGGATAAGATGCCTGCATGCCTGGTTTCAGTTCCTGACTCTGACTCTAGCTTCCTGGTAGTGCAGACCTTGAGAGGCAGCAGTGATGGCTGAGTAATTGGGTTCCTGCCCAATGTGGGAAATTGGGGAAAAAGTCCCAGGTTTAAGCTTTATACCAGTTGGGGCAATTGCTGGCATTTGGGGAATGAGCTAGCAGATAAAATCATTCTATTTCTCTCTCTCTCTCTCTGGAACTCTGCCTTTCAAAAAATAGGTTGAAAAGATAGAGTCTATATCTTAATTATATTATCTAAAGCCCTGGTTATTCCTGGTTTTCTCTTTGCTGTGCATGGAATTTCTATTTTCGTTGTCAACCAGTATCTTGTTTAAGGACTCTAGATAATGTCATGAACTGAAATACTTAATCCTATATCATTCATCATATGTAAATTAAAAATACTGACTAAAATACAATTATTTTAGAAGTTGTACTCCTTCTTGAACAAAATATTGCCCCTTATAATTTTGATTCCTAAAATTTGTTTAAAATATGTATACTAATCAATGTATTTTATTTTGTAATATTTATTTATTTTATTTGAAAGTCAAGTTACAGAAAGAGAGGGAGAGAGAGAGAGAGAGAGAGAGACAGAGAGATCTTCTATGCACTGCTTCTCCCTAAATTGTTGTTAAAGCTGGGGCCAGACCAGACCAAAGTTAGGAGCAAGGAGCTGCTTACATGTCTCCCACTTGAGTGCAGGGGTCCAAGGACTTGGTCCATCTTTGGCTGCTTTCCTAGGTACCTTAGCAAGGAACTGGATCAGAAGTGAAGCAGCTGGAACTCAAACCAGTGCCCATAAGGGATGCAGGCATTGCTATACCACTATACCACAGTGCCAGCCTCTAATCATTGCATTTTATTCCTTTTTATATTTTCTGTTTTTTTAATTTAGAAGCTAAAAGTTGTTGGTCAGTTACTAATTCTCAGATTTATTGGCCCAACTTCTACATAGAAATGATTTTATAGACAGTTGTCTCATAAATTAAGGCCTGAGAGGTGATTTCACATCATAGACTATCAAAGCCCATTGTTGACATTTATAGGATGAAATAAAGATCAGAAATGTTTGAATGTTTGTCAGTATGCTATTTGCAAAATGTAAAATAACCATTAAATGGAACCTAGAGTTTATAAATTGATTTATGTCAACACATGAACCAAATACTAACATTTACTGCTATGTTCTTTTTATTAAACACATCATGAAATCTAAATGGCAGTTAAAATAGTTTATTTTTTCATGTTAAATGGAAGTATGAAGCTGTTGGCTGTATTTAAAAAGGTAATAATAGGCATTTTGTATTTCTTTTCTAAGCACCACAGAGCAGCCGACACTCAACTAGTATTTCCTGCTGAAAATAAACCCCAGAATGAAAAGAAGAAACAAGAGTTCTTAGCTCTTGCAGAAAATTGCATTTCTTGGCCTTCCATGTCCTAAGTAGAACGAAAATTTTGCATTCTTCCCATAAATCTTGGAGTGTCTAAAACACACTTTACGTCTGTCTCCCAATCACTCCCTTTATTAGCATAGAAAAGGTTCTGTTCTGTTCAATTCATGAGGTTTCTTAACATCTGGTAAAGGCAGTGAAGAGACAGTTTATGTGATCCTCCAAGAAAAACAGAATAAACAGGAACTGTGCTCACCACCCAAAGATGTGTACCTTAGCCAGAACTCCCCTGCTGCCTTGTTTTATTTTTTTTTCTTTTCTTTTGTTTTCTTTCTTCCCGTGGTTGGAACCAAAGTCAAAGATCAAACACATAGCATTTGGCACATACTGGATGCTGCAGAAATCTTCAGAAGAGCAAGGAGATGTTGTTTTCTATTTAGTAGGACGTGTAGGTGAACTACAGTGAAAATGACTGAGCCACTCTGCCTGGTTTTTATGTTTCTTTGGTGGAATAAAATAGAAAAGTAGGGGAGGAGAAAGGATGCAAAGAAGGTTCTGTGAGAGGAGTTCCAGATCCTTAGTTGGAAAACTGCCAGTAAAGACAACAGGATGTTTTCCTGGACCCAAACAGTGTTTTGTGATTTTGAAACAGAGAACTGCACGTTCTTAGCTTCCTTTCATGTAAAGATGTCACCATTTGTAAGATACATCCTGATTTCAGAGTTGTTAAAATGTGAGAAAATACACAGAATTTTATAAAATATGGTAAATACTTGAATTTCTGGCTTCTTGGAGCAAATTGAAAGATTTGGCCACACAGGGCAGTGAACTCGACAAAAATAGGTGCTCTCAGGTGGGTGGTGGCTCTACTGGGGTCCCTCTTAGTGAAGAAACTGAACCAGGCAATGGAATAGAAGGGGACAGTGTGTGGGGCATGTGCGCCATGTGCTGTGAGGCAGTGAAGGATGGCCTTGCTGAACTGGGGACACTGCCACATGCCTGCTGGGGTCCTTCGGACTCACCTTTCATGCCTGCAGTGGGCGACAATGGGCGACCTCTCTTTTCATAGATTTGTTGGTATTCATTCACAGCGCTTTTCCCTCCGTCCTCTTCACATTTTCATCTTTTGATGATTTTGTGAAAGAGTTAGCCCTAAATTACACACTGAGGTTTCTGTGTTGATGCCTGAGTCCAGGCCTCCAGCATCATCTCTGTCAGCAGCCAGGAACAGCTCTCCCTACACGCAGAGTTCCCAGCCTCAGAGCCCAGTTTGGCCCTAACTGACTAAATTCTTACTCGCATCCTTGTGTTTCTCTCCTTCCTCATGTTGGTAATGATTATGCAATATGTGCTATTTTAGTTGAGTTATACAGACATTGTATGAGGTGGTGTATTTGTTAAAATGAGAGACTGTATTTCACCATTTCTTTATCTCCTGTTGTTAACATATAAGAGGATATTCAATAAATGGTGAGGGGAGAAATGAATGAACACAATGATTAACTACAGTTTGATAATGAAGAAGTCATATGACAGACCTCCAGATTTATTCAAAACATAATTTACTTCAGTCTTACAGGCAAGTGTAATACTACCCAATATACTACTATCCATTGCTCTCTTGCCTTAAGAAACCCAGAGTTTCACTGGGGTTAACAGTGAATTTCACAGCAAGTGCTTTGGGAGAGAGACGTATTTAAGCATATGTTACAGTAAAAGTGAGGGAGAGGGCTCTGAATTTGCTTTATTCCCTTGGAGAGCTTTATTGTGCACAAAAAATGGGGGATTGGGCCAACGCGCAAGCCCTCACAACAGGAATAGTAAATTGGATAGCATACTTGTCTGGGAGAAGAGACTAGGCTGAGAGAAGACTGCGTGTGAATGTATACTACTATACATGGTATGTATATATACATATGCTATGTATGTATATATAGAAAACTTGTAAGATAATTTTCCTAGATCTTAGGAAAATAATCTCTTCTATCTTACAAAAACACAGAAATGATTGAAAATTGCACAGTTGTACTTTTTAAACTTACAAATCCTGCATCCATGCCTCAGTCTGCAATGTCTCTTACATATGGCTGATGATGTGTTTGCAAAATAAGTAAATTTCTCTGTGCTGATGTTTGATATCAGCATATAGGTGATAACATTAAGCAGTGGTTTTAAACTTAGTGATTTCACAGATCCATCTGGAAAGACTTCACACAGACAGCAATTGTAACTTAATTGTTATTGTGAGGGGGCCAGGCATTAAAATTTTAAAAATTTTCCCAAGTGATTTGATTGGTGTACTCAGGATTGTGAAACACTGACTTAATGCTGCTGCTGCTGCTTCCTCCTCTTCTTCCTCTTCTTCCTCCTCCCCCACCCCGTTCTTTCTCCCCCCTTCTTCCCTCTACTCCCCTTCACCCTCCTCATTCTCCTCCCCCCCCCTTTTTTTTTAATAAAAATCATTTCTTTGAAAGGCAGAGTGGTAGAGAGATGGGGGAAGGATGACACGAGGGAGAGGGGAGAGAGGAGACAGATTCCAGTTTACTCCCACAAATGCCTGGAACAACTGTGACTTGGCCAAGCTGAATCCAGGAGCCAGGTACTCCATCTGACTCTCCCACATGAATGATTGTCACCCACGTACCTAGTATATCATCTGTTGCTCCTAGGAACATTAGCAGGAAGTTAGATTGGAAGCATGGGGTAGCCATGTACTCCATAAATGGGATGTTCATGTCCTGTGTGGCAACTGTACCTGCTATACCACAATACCTGCCACTGATTTAATTGTGAGCCACTTGTATGGTCATGAGACCACAAAAGGAAAAAGAAAAAATAGGCTATAATAGGTTGAAGAGAAAACCTGAGGGACCCAATATTCAGGGCACTAGCAGAGACAAAGATAGTCCTGAGAAAGGCTAGAAACCAAATTCCTAAGGATGACAACCACCTACTTGTCTTGTTGTTGAAGTGATCAACTCTGTGGGTTAGCTGTGGTCGGAAGCAGAGATCTGATAGACTCTGCTAGATTGGCCAATTAGAATATTGTTGCTGACATTAATGAGAGTAATTTTTGTGGGCAGCTGCAGAAATGGACTGAGGAGTAAATTGAAAATGACGATTAGAAGAAAGCAAGCCTTGATTATTGTTTTGAGGTGAGCAAGAGAAAGAAAAGTAAATAGTGAGAAGGTTGTTGGGGTGTGTGCCTGTTAAGGATGAAGACCCTTGCTCCAAGGCTGAGGGGAAGATGTTGTGGGGAAACAGTGAAAGTCCAGGGATGGTGACCAACAGATGGGATCCTGGGCTCAGGGGAAAGGAGGACCATAAACAGCAGGAAGAATTCCCGTTCTTCACCTGGATTTGAGGAGAAAGATGTAATTATGGACACAGATAGTTTTGTTATGTTCAGGAGAGTTGAGAGAATATGTATCTTATGAGCTGAATTTTTGTGATAAACTATGAGACGGGTGTATTTCTTGAAAGTTGGAGCACAAAGAGTAAGAATTAGTTACAAGCTAAAAGGGATGCGTTGTTATAAGAGGGATGGCTGGTGAACATTTAGTTATGTGGCTGTCCACAACAGTGAGGGTCTGATCCCTGTGGGGGCTCTGAATTTGCCGAAGCTTCCACTTGCATAGTTATTTGATAATTCTCTCCTCGTTTCCTGCTCTCCTCAGTTGCCCTTTCTCTCCCTCTCCCTCTCCTTCCCCCTTTTCCTCTCTCCCTACTTTCTTCCCCTCTCCCCTCTCTCTTGATGTTATAGTAGTCTTGGCCAAACGTGATTGTAGGCAGTTCAACATTTCTCTGAACTGCTTGACAAGACCCAGAGGGATCCTGAAGAGGACACCGGGGGCAGAACTCTAGAGCAGCAGCACTCCTGGAAAAAAAGTGAACCACATATCTAGTTTGAAGCTCTACAGCAGCTGAAGACAACCAGGTGAAATCAAAAATGTATTTCATTCAACCAAGCATATCTAAAATATTACTAGTTTAAAGTATAAATCAATATATGCTAGTATGTAGTAGCAAGGAAGACATTTATTTTTCACACCAAGTACTTGCAATCAGGCGCATCCCCAGATAGAGCTGATGTGTGTGTGATGTTCCATAGGCATCTGTGATTAGCGGCAGGTCTTGAACTAAGCTCTAGAATTAAGAAGATCAGGGACCAGGGAAATTGGGGAGGAGGTGTTCTCATGACAGTTAAAATCTCCTTGGAAGTTGATGGAACTTAAGGATCACACAAGAAGACTGTGAACCAGATACCAAAGGATTTGCTGACCTGATGGGAGGGAGAGAATTACAACAGTGACATGTGTCCATGATCATTTAGAGGGTTATTGAAAAAGGACTTAGTTTATAATTATCAAAGTTATTTTCAAGACATATCAGAAGAGTCTTGTATATGTAGAGAGGGCTTCTTGTTTTACAGACTCCTAAAATCCTTGTCTAGAAGGATAATAACATTTCAAATCAGTTTTTAATCTTTAAATCTGCAAAGTGGCTTTTTCCAATATTGGGAAAGCTAATGCATAAGCTACGTGGAAAGGCATGACTGTGAATGCACTGCTGACCTGTGAATGGGCCCCCAGCTGCCTCCTTGCCGTTCTTGGCTGCTATCAGTTAATGTATTACCATTATTTCATGAGGAAATAATGTTAAATGGCCAACCACATTTAAAATTGATTTCTTTTTTGACTTTTTAAAAACATTTTATTTAAGTTATGCAAGTTTCATGTATTTCATGTATATGTATATATATATATATATATGTATATATAGGAACGTAGTGATAATTTCCCCACTCCCACCCATACTCCAACCTTTCTTCAATTTTGGTTTTGATTGCCTGTGCTTCTGGGGTCTTTTCCAAGAAGTCTTTGCCTGTGCAAATGTCTTGAAGAATTTATCTGATGTTCTCTAGTTATTTGAATGTATCAGGTCATAGATTTAGGTCTTTGATTCATTTTGAGTGGATTTTTGTGTAAGATGCAAGTAGATGTCTTACTGCATACTTCTGCATGTGACAATCCAGTGTTCCCAGCACTGTTTGTCCTTGCTCAGGGATTGATTTTAGCTCCTTTATCAAACATTAGTTGGTCGTAGATGCGAGCCCCCTCTACTTTAATTGGATGGAGGGCAACCACTTGCTCCGAAAGCTCTCGTCCAGATTCATGCCATGCTTTCCCTCTGGCTGTATCACCATGGTTTGCTGTAGTCCAATTTCACCTCAGCCTCCAAGCTACTGCTCACTCTGGCTCTCGGCTGCTGCAGTCGTGTGTTGTGTTGTGTTCGTGCTACATGTCTGCACCCTCCTCACAGGCCCTGGCGTTCCTCTTCTCTTGCAGGATTTTCAGTGTGATTTTCTCTCCAGTTCTCTCCTGAAAATGCACTTGGTATTCCCTTCTTTCTATCTCTCTCTCTTGACTATGTATCCCCAGCCCAGCAGTGTATCTTTCCCTAATCTGCCCTAAAATTGATTTATAATATTTGATTCCAGCCATGCCTTGTTCCTGTTGAGAAGCAGTAAGCTCAGTTCTGTCACTGTAGACTATGGTTGGCCCTGGAGAGTGAAGTCCCTGCTTGTTCAGTACTATATTGATGATGTTGTATTTTAATTGATTATACTGGTTGAGTGATGAGATGCCACACAAGAGGGTTTTGTGTCTGTAGTGTACTCACTGAAGGTCTAGATCAATAGCTGGCTAGCTAGCTAGCTAGCTAGCTAGCTAGATTTATTTATTTATTTATTTATTTATTTATTTATTTATTTTGACAGGCAGAGTTAGAGAGAGAGAGAGGAAGGTCTTCCTTTTTCAGTTGGTTCACCCCCCAAATGGCTGCTACAGCCAGCGTGCTGCGGCTGGTGTGCTGCACCAATCCGAAGCCAGGAGCCAGGTGCTTCCTCCTGGTCTCCCATGCAGGTGCAGGGCCGAAGCACTTGGGTCATCCTCCACTGCCTTCCCGGGGCACAGGAGAGAGCTGGACTGGAAGAGGAGCAACTGGAACAGAATCTGGCGCCCCAACTGGGACTAGAACCCGCAGGCAGAGGATTAGCCTAGTGAGCCGTGTTGCTGGCACTAGCTCTTAACTATGTAGTCAACATTTAAGCTCATACTTCCACAAACAGTTCTTAGACTACTGCATCCATGTATGAACCCATTCAAGAGGGGGTGCTGGGGCAAGCTTTGGCAGAATAATTAAGACTCAGCTTGGGATTCCCACATCCCATACCTGAGTGCCTGGGTTCAGTTCTTAGCTCTGCCTCTAATTCTAGCTTTCTGCTAATGCACACTTGGAGAGGCAGCAGTGATGGCCAACTACTTGCATGCTTGCCACTCATGTGGGATACCTTGATTGAGTCCCAGGGTCCTGACTTAAGCCTGGTCCAGCTGTGACTATTGAGTGAATTTTCAGGGTGAGCCAGCAGATGGAAGATGTATCTGTCTGTATGCCTGCCTCACTGTGTGTCAGTCTCTGTCTCTTTGTATTTTTCTCTGCCTTTCAAACAAAGTGAAAATAAACAGAAATGTAAGAGGAAAACAAAATCCCAAACAGTGCCAATTAAAATTCCCATTAAAATTATACCATTTTGTTTTATTTTTTAGTGGAAATTAAAATAGCAAGGTTTATTAGGGAAGGGACATCCTTAAGAACGGATGGGCACCTCTCCAGACAGAACCTGAGAGAGAGTGCTCAGTCGCTCAGACTAGGGGAGAGCGGGGTTACATGGTTGAGTGGAGAGATTACACTGGGTGGCTCAGCATGGAGGCAGAGGGATGAGTGTGCAGTCTGGTTGAGGCTGGGGGCTTTTAAGGGGATGGGTCCTGCCTCCCCACCTCTGCTCCTCTTGGAACAAAGGACATTTTGGGCATAAATACTAAAAAATCCTTTCTGAGTTTTCCTCCTAAGTTCTTCCCAGGCGGTCTCCCATCCAAGTACTAACCAGGCCTGACCCTTCTTAGTTTCCGAGATTAGACAAGATCTGGCGCGTTCAGGGTGGTATGGTCGTAGACCATTGTTTTTTCTTAAAACCAATCATTTCTAAACCATTTCATGGACTACCAGAAAGAAGACATAGTAGAAGGAAGAAAGTTCTTAAAATTTAGTTGAGAGGATATATAGATGTGGGGAGCAGCCCGGACTGGACTGAGTTACTGGAATTAAGACTTATTCTATGCATCTGCTCTCCCACAATATGGCGCTGGGAGAGAAGTAAACAGCTTCCGCACAGCTGCCTCCAGTTCAACCAATAAACTGTAGGACTCGCTCCTGATTGGAGAGCAGCGTACTCGGCGTGTGGGCAGCCGAGTTGGGATTGGCGGAGGAGGACTATAAAGGAGGAGAGAGACGGCATGCACCAGGAACATCTAAGGGGAACATCTGAAGGAACGCCTGTGCAGCCCCCGAGAGAGCCGGCCGGCGGTGCGCCGCTCCCCTGCGGAAGTGGGGAATGTGGCCAGGGGGAACCGCCCTTCCACGGAGGTGGAAGGGACAGTAGCCAACCCGGGAAGAACCAGCAGCAAACCCGGGGAGGGCCGAGCAGACGAAAGAACAGCGCAGGGTCCTGTGTCGTTCCTCCACGAAGAGGGGGAGCGACATAATGGTGCCGTGACTCGGATAGGAAACCTAGGACGGATAGGAAACTTAGGAGGGAAGAAACGGGAAGAAATGGGAAAATTTCGGAGAGAGAGACTAGCAAACAGCCTAGGGAAAAGCCGGACGAAAAAGGTGCCGGAAGAAGCTATTGAAAGCCTAGGCATAGACTCAGATACGGACTACGGGGGGAAGCTGGGAGAAATCTCTAAGGTCGAAAGCGAAAGTGAAAGCTAGAACAAACAGACTCGGATGCGGACTGTGGGGAGAGGCCAGGAGAAATGAGGGAGGAGTATTGTTGGAGGAAAGCTTGGGGAAACATACCGGGTAGAGAAAAATGTTAGGGAAATTGAAGCCGCGGGGGGCAGGCCGAGGCGGAAACGAAAGCCACTTTGGGATTCTCAAGTTAACCCGGGAATGGGGGGCGAAGAGTTGAAACCAGAAGCGGAGACGTATGAGCTAGGTTGGAATCCGTCAGATTAGCCTGAGGAGCAAAGGACGGGAAGCCAGACCGAAAGGCGCAGAAATGTGAGCTGGGTTGAATTCGCCAGGTTAGCCCGGGGAACTTAGATTGAATGCTAGTGGCGGAGACGCAAGCTACGCTGTGTGACCCGCGGAAGCCGCCGCGTGCAGAGAGAGCACAGGGCGTGAATAGATAGGGAACGCGGGGCTGGCGCGAGGCCGTGGTTCAGACGCGAAAGGGCTAGTGCGAGACCGCGGAGTGTGTGCGCAAAGCCGAGCCGCGCAGAGCCGAGAAGCCGCGCAGATGAGAGAGGCGCGGGCTGAAGCGGCTCAGAGCCGGAAAGCCGCCGAGAAGCAGCCTCGGGGCGGGCGCCGGAAAGCCGCAGGGATAAGAGAAACAGAAGTTTAGAAGTAAAATGAGAGAAATGGGAATGTTGGCAGACAAAAGTAAAATGGGAGAAATAGGAATGCCCGGAGATAGAGAAATAGAGAAATAGAAAGGCCTCCCTACAATACTGCAATTAGAAGGCTTGGATTCGGTCTGCCCGATTAGTGAGGCGATGAGCACCTGCGGCAGCTAGCAGCTTATGCGCCGCAGGTCACCGAAGACAGGCACGAATTAACATCAGTAAGGCCTCCCCACAATACAGCAATTAGGAGGCTTGGATTCGGTCTGCCTGATTAAGGCGGTAAGCACCAGCAAGCAGCTCGACCAGAGTATGAGCTGCAGGTCACCGAAGATAGGCACGAACCAACACTAATAAGTCTCCCCCACAATACGGCAATGAGAAGGCTTGGATTCGGTTTGCCTGATTGTTAGGGCTTGTAAGCCCCTGCAGGCAGAGCAGAGCATGCGCTGCAGGGCACCGAACACAGGCACGCATCAGCGCCTAAAAACCTCCTCACAACATGGCGAAGAGAGGACCCGGATTCGGTTTGCCTGATTGATAGGACTTGTAAGAACCTGTGGCAACTCTAGCAAGTAGAGCAGAGTGTGTGCCGCGGGACACCGAAGACAGGCGCGTATCAACGCCAAAAAATAAAAAGAAAGGGGGATCTGTGGGGAGCAGCCCGGACTGGACTGAGTTACTGGAATTAAGACTTATTCTATGCATCTGCTCTCCCACAATATGGCGCTGGGAGAGAAGTAAACAGCTTCCGCACAGCTGCCTCCAGTTCAACCAATAAACTGTAGGACTCGCTCCTGATTGGAGAGCAGCGTACTCGGCGTGTGGGCAGCCGAGTTGGGATTGGCGGAGGAGGACTATAAAGGAGGAGAGAGACGGCATGCACCAGGAACATCTAAGGGGAACATCTGAAGGAACGCCTGTGCAGCCCCCGAGAGAGCCGGCCGGCGGTGCGCCGCTCCCCTGCGGAAGTGGGGAATGTGGCCAGGGGGAACCGCCCTTCCATGGAGGTGGAAGGGACAGTAGCCAACCCGGGAAGAACCAGCAGCAAACCCGGGGAGGGCCGAGCAGACGAAAGAACAGCGCAGGGTCCTGTGTTGCTCCTCCACGAAGAGGGGGAGCGACATATAGAGAAAAAGACATGGAGACAGCAAATGTAAAACTTCCATCTGTTGATCCATTATCCAATATCTGCAGTGGTCAGGATTGGACCAGGGACACAGCCAAAAACCAGGAACTCCAGTGGGTTGGACGTCAGGGACAAGGACTTGAGTCATCCATACTAGCTCCCAGGGTCTGCAATATCAGTAAGCTGGAGTCAGGATCTAGAACCAGAAACTGAACCCAGGTGCTCTGATATGGGACATGGGTATCCTTTTTTTTTTTTTTTTTTTTTTTACAGGCAGAGTGGACAGTGAGAGAGAGAGAGAAAGGTCTTCCTTTTGCCGTTGGTTCACCCTCCAATGGCCGCTGCGGCTGGCACACCGCTCCTATCCAAAGGCAGGAGCCAGGTGCTTCTCCTGGTCTCCCATGGGGTGCAGGGCCCAAGCACTTGGGCCACCCTCCACTGCACTCCCTGGTCACAGCAGAGAGCTGGCCTGGAAGAGGGGCAACTGGGACAGAATCTGGTGCCCCGACCGGGACTAGAACCTGGTGTGCCGGCGCTGCTACGTGGAGGATTAGCCTATTGAGCCACGGCGCTGGCCTAGGACATGGGTATCTTAACCAGTAGACAAATAGTAATAGTAATTCACATTTTGGGGATATTACGTAGTTATGGGCTTTTGCTTGTAGGCTGGTGTATTATGATAAATATGAACTATTATGTCTTAGCACTGGTATTTCACCTATGGTGTTGCATCTCTGTTTAGGCCAGAAATGCCAGGTGGCAGTTGAGAAATCAGCTGCTAATTGTGCCAGGACAATGACACATGCATTGCATAATCACACATCTATTGCTCCAGCACTTCCAGGGAGCCACTCTTGTAATCCTTTGTCAGCTTTAATAGTTAATGAATCACAGACCCATTGGTATACTCATCGCAGGTTCCTCTCTAAGGACAATACGACTGCTTTAGTTGTGCAGCTATCGATGTAGCCACGGACTCTGGTACCACCAGCCTCCATGCTTTAGAGGCCTTGTTTTCAGAACCCCCTCTTCATTCTTCAGCTGCCAACCCTACCTCCTTTGTCTTGTCCTCTTCCCATCATGTGGCAGAAGGTCATATCTCACTTCATGCTGGTTGAATGATCTGTAGAACAACTACCCAGTGAGTTCAGTCACATCAGTTTTCAACCTGATTTTTCACTCAGATATGACCTCATTTTTTGAAAAGTTTGACTTTTGTTGTTGAAGGAGATTTTCATGTTAACTGAGCAATACTCAGACAGCATATTTATAAACTTGATGGATAAAAGCAGTAATTAAGAGTTTAGTCTGGTGACATAGAACAGAGTCTGATATTAAAAATATTTTTACTGCTTAAAGCATTTGCCCATAAAGACACTGATGCAAGGAATATTGACTAAACACTTTGCTTTTTCTTGGATTATTCCAAAGGAATTTTGAAAATGTTATTTATATAAAAGGAACAAATTCCATGTATTTCATATATACGTTATAAATTTTTTTTACTATTATGATACCTTCCTCCATCAATTATATACCCAACAGCAATAACCACAGGTTTGTACCAATTATGTATGTGTGTGGGTTATTAAATAACACTGTTTTTGGCAATAGATTTGTATTTCCTTAAACTGAGTTTAAATGAATTTTGAAAGATTTCTGGTAACAGTGGTTTATAAATTTATGCAGTACAATCTGCTCTTCCTAATCCAAACATAGTGAGATGACAAATGAAATATTAAAACTGAAACCAAAAAGATACAATTATACTTGGTATATTCTGGGAACCAGAAATAGAACAAAACAGCTGTCTGGAGGCAGAAGCAAGGGCCTGCTAGACTCCATGAAAATGGATTCCTATAGGGTCACAAGGACAAGAAAAATGCCATATCCAGGCTGAGGAACTGAATCTGAGTTTACAGCAGGAAACCTGGGGCTGGGGTAGCTTATTTACCACAAAGAGATGGGAGACTGTTGTGGCTGCTACTGGGGCTGTTCATTTGAAAGCTGCTGGAGGCAGTAGAAATAGCTGTCCCAGTAAGACCTGGGCCAAGCCACCTGCTGGTCCAGTGGCCAGCTCTCCAATGACCCCTGGTTACCATGGTGCAGAAGCCCATCAGGAGGCACAGAGGCACACTGAAGAGGAAGGGTGGACAAATAATTGCCACTCTTGTAAGCAGCACACATAGAAAACACTAATGAACAGAAACTACAAAATCGGTAAGACAGAGTATGTTTACCCACAAAATGTGAAAATATGGCATCTTAAAATGACTTTTAAGTACATTGCCAATTATTAAACAGGTCCAGAAAAAAATAATTATTAGATACAAGCCAGTGGACATAAATTAAGGCCAAATGAATATGGAAAAATGGCCAATTACCAATCCTTTGGAAAGAGAAATATGTCATTTAATTGACGAACTCAAAATATAGGATAATTTTAGACTGAATCTAGTCAGAGAAAAATTAGCTAATACTAAAATTCTACCAAAATGAAACACAGAAAGACAAGAAGAATAATGAGGAAATGGGAAAAATAGTGGTTAGACAAAAAGGCTCCAGTAGAGTTCTAACAAAAGTTCCAGAAGTAGAGAATGAAACCTTGGCAAGAGGAAACTGCCAGAGATAATGACCGAGAATTTCTAGTATCACTAGCATGTGAGTTCTCAGACTGAAACAGAGCCTTCTGAAGAGGGAGTGCACGCAGCAGTGTACACGTTGTGGGATCAAAACATGACCTCCCGAGCTAGGTAGGATAATGAATGAGACGTGCACGCTGCAAGATAGCAAAGTTGCAGAACATCAGACACAGATAATTTTGGAAATGGCCAGAGAGAACAGTCAGGTGACCCTTAAAGGGTAGTTGACAGCTAGACTGAGGGCAGATTTCTCACCAGCCAAAATATATCTCAGATGTAGTTGGAGGGTGGACACCATGGCACAGCGGGTTAAGCCATGGGCTGCAGCACAGGCATCCCATATAGGCACCATTTCAAGTTCTGGCTACTCCATTTCCAATCCAGCAACCTGCTAATGCACCTGGAAAAGGCAGCAGAAGATGACCCAAATGCTTGGGGCCCTAAGCTGATGTTGGAGACCTGGAGGAAGCTCCTGGTTCCTGGCTTCAGCCTGGCCCAGTCCTGGTTATTGTGCCATTTAGGGAGTGAACCAACAGATGGAAGACTTGTCTCTCTGTCTCTTCCTCTCTCTCTCTACTTCTCAAATAAATAAATAAATAAATAAATTTTGGACTTGACAGAAGTGGTGGGGTTGAGGTACAAGTGGAGCCAGGCACCAGGGGCTGCGTGGAAGGAGCGATGACTGGGGGTGGCAAAGAAACAGTTCTGCATTGCAGATGTGTTTCTGCTCCTGTCACTGTGAGCTTTGGTGCTGCGTGGGTGACTAAAGGAATTCCAGAAGCTCACTTCCAGAGCAGCACTTCCCAAACATGCTCTGTGGAGCACTGACGAGCAAGTAAAAAGTGTTAAATAAACTAAAATGTCCCATTGCCAAATATGGTTGAAAACTGCTGTGTGAAATAACAGCACCTTTCTTCACCATGAAAGTTTTTGGACAGCATGCCCTGTATATCCTCAAGAAGAGATGTAAAATGCAAGAGTTTCAAAGTTGGAATGTAGACAGTTGTTTCCTTAGGCTGACCAATGAGATAATCCACAGAACATGCTTTTGAAGCACAATTTCTCCAGATTTATCTATTTTTAAAATTTTCTAATAGGTCCCTGGAGATGCAAAGAATTCTTCTTTAGCCATTGTAAAACTTACCACACTCTGATTTATGCACAAAGACACTGTTCGCTCAGGTGTGGTTTTAAGATACCTTAGGTTGTCCTAAATGGTACTTCGGTCTGTTTTGCCTTCCAGGCCATCGTCTCTGCCTTCACTGATTCAGTGTGCTGTGGATTTTGTAGCTTTGACATAAGTCTTCACCTATTTTATTGCTTCAGGAACCTCTGAGGAGCTTGAGGGTAGCAATCTTAGCATCATGTGTTGAATTGCACACAACTGAGTTGTATAAAAACACTTTTAACATTTAAAGGACAGTCTACATTGAAGTGTCCTTGGCCTGGTCCTCCAGCGTGGAGCCCAAGAGGTGCTTCCCTTAAATAAATAAATGCCTTTGGGAAGAAATAGTACTGAAAGAAACAGACCTTTTGATATGTTATCATCCTAAATAAAAATTACTATTTCTGCAAAGCCACAAACATACACAAAGGGAGTTATTCTGTGAGGTGGGAAGCTTGGGTCCTTTTCCCCTCTTGGTCCTGGGAGGATGACAGCAAATGTCAGGTGAACACACCAGTCCAATTGTGCTCTTATGACTACAGGGATCTTGGAAGATTTCATTTCAAAAAAAAAAAAAAAAAAAGAGGGAGAGAGAAAACCTTACCCACCTTTTTCTATGTGGATTTAACAATACTAAGGTCTAGCCACAGCCATGGTGCTGAGGATGGCACAGGTGTCTAAACACAGTGAACATCTGAATCTCTGAGGTAAAGAACAGCTTTAATGTCTAGACACAGAGAGAAGGAACATTAGGATATAAATGGCTCACAGATCACAGCTCTCACGTCTCCATCCGTGATGTGATCAGTGTGCTAGGCAAAACTATAGTGAGCACGATGCGTCACCCCGCCTTCTCATCCTGCCCAACACCCGTCTCTGTGATGTGTTGCTTTGTATGGTTATTTGATTCTTCCCTGAGGAGCTCCATGAAAAATGTAGAAAGTAAAATATAACCTAATGGATCCCCTGCTTCTGGATCTTAAAACTACTATGTGTTATTATCTCTGCTTTAAAGAAGAGGAAACTGAGGTTTTGAGAGGTTAGGTGACTTTCCCAGGTCACAGAGGGAGAAGTGGGTGAAGAATGACTTCAGTCAAGGCCACCCTACTCCTGCCTTCATGGTCATACTGGAAGTCGAAGGAATAAAGCCATCTATAAATAACACACAGGAGGGCTCTGACATGAATTTGAAGGCTCTATGCTTATCCAGCACAAATTTCTTGTCTTGTATTCCCCCAATATATATGGATTTATTTGCGTCTTACTCTGACAGGGGAAATCATTGCTTTAAATAAAGGCTTTTAATTCTCATCATTGGGAAATTTTTCAAACTTGATCAGTACTGATCCTAAGGCTGTTCTCATATTGCAAATCACTCATGCAGTGGGAATGGCCTCCCTTGCTAACTGCTGAGGCCAGCAGCTACCACTGTTCGTGTCTCTTAGTTGGCCATTGCTGTGTGCTTTGCAACCTGCTGTAACTGACTAAACTCATGGTGTATGGAAAGGTAACTTCTGGCAGCATTCATACTAGCCAACAGCTGTCACAAGGAGAGCACGGCACCTTAACGCTCCATTATGTGACCACTGTGGTTCTGACGTCTTAGGGTTATTAATTTCATGACTAGAGTCATACAAGCCGTTTCACATACCACTGTATTCGTGGATATGTATTCATACATATTTGTAAGTGGAAGGACTCAGAGAAAGTGATTGTCTAGTCTCTTTTCATGTCATCACAACTTCCTAATTCCATTTTTTTCTTATATGGTAAATCCACAAATGACCTTTTTTTTTAAAAAAAAAAAAAGATTCCTTTATATATTTGAAAGGAATAGTTAGAGGCAGAGGCAGAGAGAGACCAGTGCCTGTATGGGATGTTGCCACTGTAGGCATCAGCTTTACTTTTTAAGAACATTAACTATGCCCCAGAATACTTGGTGATTACCCACAGACTTCAGGCTGAGAATCTGATTAGCTAGAGGCCTACTCTTTAATGGAAGATTTCTTAAAGGTCCTTGCACAATCAGGAGACTGTGACAAGCAGTGACGAAGTTATTGGTAGTGAGTGGTTTTTGTAGAGAAAATGCATAAAGGGTTTAAAACCTAAAGGCAAGAAGAATTGACATTGGGTAAGGAGAGAAGGATGGAAGATTCAGAGATGAATTTATGGATGTCCCTGTATAAACTGGGAGCTTGTGGGGCTTGAGGGAGCACCTGGCTTCAATGGGGCACACACTTCAGAAAAACAGAACTTGAATTTTTTTGAGTTTTGAATACATCTATATTTTTTGCAGACTTATAAAATCTAATATCTTCGTCGAGAGAAAATTTACCATTTTGAGTAAGAAGGAATGACGGGGTTAGGTCACCTCTGCCAGTGATATGACAGACACCTTCCTACTGGTCGGGAATGAGATATAAAAATAGGTGGATCTGGAATGGAAGTTGGGAGCAGTGCACCTGCCAAGGATGGCAGCTGTTCGTGCTCAGGTAGCCTGCTTCAGCGGCCTCCTGTGGAACAATGGAAAAGCTTAATAGAATGAGCCTATTAGTTAAATGTTGTTGCAACTCAAATATTTGAACTTTTGAGTTTAATAACTGAAAACTTGAAAGCTAACTAATTTCTCAATTTCCAGAAGAAATAAACTATTACAGAGAGGATAGTCACATGGGACTCTTTTTATTTTTTTTTTTTCTTTCATAGTTAGAGGGAAAAACACAAATCTTTAATCTGCTGGTTTACTCTCCAAATTTCTGCAGCAAAAAGGACTGGACCAGGCCAAAGCCAGGAGCCAAGAGGTTCTTCCAGTTCTCCAATGTGGGTGGCCCAGTCACTTGGTCCCTATTATGCTGCTTTCTCAGACCATTAGCAAGGGTCTGGATTGGAAGTGGAACAACTGGGACAAGATCTGGTACCCATGGAAAGCGGGAGTTGTAGGCAGCAGCAGCTTAACCTATTTGTGCCACAATGCCAGCCCCCTATCCTATGCTTTTGAATAAGAGAACTCTGGGTCTAAGGCATGGGCCAGATGTCTAAAATTTCACCTGGAGTGTTTGACTTTGATGTCTTAGAATGACAATATTCTAAGTTATGTCTCTACCATTAATGCAGCAGCAGTTAAGCACTTTTGGCTTTGCTCCACTGAGATGGAAAATCTATGAAAGCAAATCCTGTGGGAGAATATGGAATATTAGAAGTGCAAGGAGCAGTGTAATATTTTAAGAAATAAGCATTTTCTCAGTACTCAATATGCCATGCAACATAGCTAACAGGAAGATGGAAAATAACTTAAAATAGAAATCACAGCAGAAAAATGACCACTCCTCTGTTTTTTCTCATTCTTTCTCTTAAGGCTTTTAATCTGCATCTGTGCCCCATATGGTATGTTATGCTGCCTATTACTTGGCATTGTTGATATATAGATATACAGTTATGGGCTCTGCTTACTTGATAATGCTTGTCATTAAAACACTCAAAGGGGATAACGTCCTCTTGACTTACAAGAAATTCTTTGACTGATTGATGTTAAAGGAATCAGTTGAAATGTTCTGTTTGCTTCTTTAATTGATGACAAAAACTAGAACCAAGAAGTAGGTGACCATTCCAGATCTTTGGCTTGATACTGTTGCTACTCAATTAATAGTGGCTCATTTGTATTTTCCAAGAAAACTAGAGGTTCTTCATAAGTAGAGGAAAGTATCTTCGAATCTCTCAATCCCCTGTGTCACAAAAATTAATGGTTTGTGCTGCGACTTCTCCTTAATGCTCCCTCTGGCAAACGGGCCCGCTGCGTTAAAGGGCACAAGCCGCTCTGGTGCATGCTCTGCCGCTTGGCAGTTTCCATTTCAGGAGTGGAGGTGCTGGAGGTGAGTCTGCTTAATTATGCAGCACCCTGGATGGCACCAGATCCTGTGCATTTGTAATGCGCGCTATCTGACCATTGATTTATGCACCCCATTTACACAGTGTTAATGTAAAACCAGCCAAAGGCAACCTCACACCCCAATTTGAAAGTTTTCACATTCTTCTAGTAATGCCTTTTATACACAATGCTAAATAGTACTTCAAATTCATCGACGAGCTCTTTACGATCAGTTGATACTCTGTGGCCTCAGAATATACGTGAAATGTACAAATAAATATGCTGTGTGTTGGATGGACAGTATGCAGATGTTTTAAGATTTTACAGTGGATTGTGGGCTGCATGTTTTTCAAAGCTTATTTCTTACAACTAATCAGGAGAGCTCTTCTGAGATAAAGATTGATACGAGCAAAGTTGAGTCGAACTTTAGAAAGTGTGGAGGAGTAGATATAACATGTCATTTGTGTAGCACAACTCTGTTGTTTTGTCCAGAACACGCATCCAGTCTTCTCTTCCTTCACCAAAAATGAGCTTTCAAATCAGAAAGAGATGTGCTAGAGGCTCCTGTCGGTCTAGACTTCGAGGCCCTGGAGGCCTGCCCTCTCCCCAGGCCAGGAGCTCAAGCTCTGCCCATCCTGCCAGGTTTTTCGCACCACCTCAGGGTGCACGCCATGTTTCCTGGAGGAGTCTGGCCGTGGTAACCCTCTGCTGCCTCTGCTCGGAGCAGACACTGGATGGGTTTTCTTCCTAGCAGACTCAGGAACCAACTTCAGAACAGTTGCACGGAAGGCTTCCAAGTAACCATCTACTTACCTGCCACCCTGGTGTGGCACACACATGGGCATGACTGAACATGGGTGTTCACCAGATTCCACCTGGGCAAGCTAGGGCATGGTAAGATCTGCCACAGGGACGGACTTCCTTTGAAAAATGCCTCCTGGAGCAGTTGTTGCAGCACCAGCATCCCGTAAGAGTGCAGGCTCAAGTCTTAGCTACTCCACTTCCTGTGCAGTTCTCTGGCTTTTGACCTAGGAAAGCAGGAGAAGCTGGACCCAGGATTTGGGTCCCTGCCACCTATGTGGGACACCTTGTTGAAATTTCTGGAGTTGGTCAGGCCCAGTGCCAACCTTTGTAGTCATTTGGGGAGTGAACTAACAGATGGAAGATACCTCTGTGTGTGTGTGTGTGTGTGTGTGTGTGTGTGCATTTTTCTCCCTCCTTCTTTCTGTAACTCTACATCTCAAATAAATTAATCTTTAAAAGAAAAAAACCTTTGGGACATGATGGCTTTTTGAGAGCACCAAAGTACTTATGTCTTCTTTTGACTCCGTGGGCCACTCTCTCTTTCCAGACTGGAGAAGCTGCTGATACTAGAATGCTGTTTCTATGACAATGCAGTGCATCCGGCCTTGAGCCTGGAAGCCAGCAGAGCACAGCTGCCTCGCTGATTACGCTGTGAGGGAAAAGGACAGTGTGATTCTGATGTACAGAGCGGGAGGAGAGAGCATCACTGGAGGTGCCTGTGCTGGCTCGAGAGCCAGGCTGGGTGAGGAGCAGCAGAGCTGTGCTGTTAGCTGAGGGGCAGTGCATGCCCTTGGGAAGCTGAGGCTCTGAGTTTGCTGCCAGCAGCAATGTCTAAATCCAGTTAATCAGTGGCTTCATGCAGTAAGTGACATCAATTAGTTGTACTCTAATTGCTGCTCCATTCTGTGTGCTCTGTGGAGCAACATCATGAGAACTCTAATGCGTTGTCTCGGATTTCCATGGATTTGCAGTCTTTTCCAGTGGAGCACAAGGAAAATAGTATAAGCTATTTCCCCGGGAATCAATAGGTAAGTTACATTGCCATACTGGGGTGACTAGGCCCCTTCCTGGGAAGCAGCCTGTATGTGATTAGAACTGTGTGTGTTGTGAGTGCAAGACCTTGAAACTGAAATTAGGAAAGTATGTCATTGCTAGCTGTGTGTATGATAATTTTGCTCCCAGAGAAAATAATTCATTTGTTTTGAATTTTTAATCAGGTACATAAAATTGACCTGATTTGTCAAACCGAGGGAAAGGAAATTCTGACTTCGTACCTGACTTCACCCTTTTGTTTTCCTATCTTGCTGGTTGTATTCTTTAAACTTCATGTTTTCCTTTCATGTAGAATGTGAGCTTCATTTATTTATTTGTTTGCCAAGCAGAGTAACAGAGAAAAATCTTTCATCTGCTGGTTCACTCTCTAGATAACTGCAACAGCTGGTGCTGGGCCATCCTGAAACCAGGAGCCTAGAGCTACATCCAGGTCTCCACGTAGGTAGCACGGGATCCAGCACTTAAGCCATCATCCGCTGCCTCCCAGAAGCATGAGCAAGAAGCTGGATCAGAAGCAGAGCAGCCAGGACTTGAACTAGGGCTCTCACAGTGGGTTATATGCATCCCAAGTGGTGGCTTAGCTCTGCACTGAACACCCACCCGTTAGCTTATTATTTTTATGTATTTGGCATTGTTATTATACGAAGGTGTTTGAGTTGGCTCAGCCTTCCTTGAGCTTTTCTTCTAGATGCTCCTTTCAAGCACCGGTGATTCTAGAAAATCATTCTTTAAAACTGATTTTAAACTACAGCTGAAAAAAGAAAATAATCCTGAGTTCTCCTTCTGTTGACTTTTTAGATAGCAAAGAAAACCATGTGAGTACTGCAGAAAGAAAAGTGATGAGCAGATAAACTAGCAAAGGAACACAGGCCTCTTTTGTAAATGTGTCAAAGTGTTTGAAGTGCTGGTAGGAACTCAGAATTGGGTAGCCTAAGCAGCTGACTGCCCATTCATAGAGATTTGAATGATTTGGATTTAGTATGGATTCTCTCTTCTTTTGAACTGCTGTCTTCTTTCATCATTTGATTTGCATTAAAGTTTCCCAGGAGAACAGTTACCCTTCTTTTGTGGTTGCTTCGATTCCGATGTTCAGCAGCTTTTTCTTGAAGGACACTCGCTGTGTCTCTTCTTGGAATTGCTAAGTCATTCTAATAGGTTTGAAAAAGTTTCTTCAGTTCTGAGGTTTATGTCATGTGAAACTTGATATCCTCCAAAAATACAAAACCCATATGGTTAGTGAAGAATATAATTATTTCTGTTTGATTTGATTTTCAACAGACTCATAAAAATTAGTACCTTTGTGTGGAGTACTGTGGAATGTCTGTTTACATGGATGCGCTGCGTTATGTCCAGGCAGTGTAAACCCATCTATATCCTCAAACATGGAACATTGCTTTATGGGGAAAAATAGAAACCCTTTTTCTCTGAATCTAGAGAAATATATAGTACTCTTATTATTATCTGAAGTCCCCTGCTGTGTAACAGAACGTCAGAATACCCATTAGTCAAGCTTTGGCAACTGCTCTCATCTAATTCTATTCTGCAGCCTCTAGTATTACAATTATACTCTTAGCTTCTGTGAGGTCAACTTTTTTGTATTCTACCTACCTGTGAGATCATATTAGTATTTTGATGGGAATCTCATTGAATCTAGATTGCTTTGGTAGTATGGACTTTTTGATATTAATTCTTAAAATCCAAGATCATGGAAGATTTTTCTATTTTTTGTGTCTTCTATTTCTTTCATTATTGTTTGGTAATATTGTAGAGATATTTCATATCATTGGTTAAATTTATCTGAAGATATGTAAGTTTGTTGTAGCTATTGTGAGTGGTGCTAATCTTCTAAGTTCTTTCTCAGCCAGATCATTGTGTATACAGATGCTGTTGGTATTTGTGTGTTGATTGTGTGTACTGTAACTTTGCCAAATTTTCTTTGACATTCCAGTATTCTCTTAGTGGAGTCATTTGGTTCTCACATGTAAAGGATTTTTTCATCTGCACACAGGGATAATTTGACTTTATCATTTCCAATTTGTATCCCTTTGGTTATTTTTTTAAAGATTTATTTATTTATTTGAATGACAGAGTTACAGAGAGAGGTCGAGACAGAGAGAGGTCTTCCATCCGCTGATTCACTCCCCAGATGGCCACAACGACCAGAGCTGTGCAGATCTGAAGCCAGGAACCAAGAGCTTCTTCCGGGTCTCCCACCCAGGTGCAGGGGCCCAGAGACTTGGGCCATCTTCCTCAGCTTTCCCAGGCCACAGCAGAGAGCTGGGTCGGTAGAGGAGCAACTGGGACTAGAACCGGCACCCATATGGGATGCCGGCACTTCAACCCAGGCTTTAACCCACTGCGCCACAGCGCCAGCCCCAGTTATTTTTTCATGCCTAATAGTTCTGGCTAAAACTTCAAAAACTGTGTTTAGTAATAATGGTGCGAATAGACATCCTTACCTGGTTCTGGATCTTAGTGCGAATGGATTCAGCTTTTCCCCATTCATTATGATGCTGGCTGTGGGTTTGCCCTGTATTGCCTTGCTAGTGTTGAGCTATGTTCCTTCTATAACCAATTTTTAGTTTTTTTTGTTCATGAAGGGATGCTGTATTTTCTCTGCATCTGTTTTTTATTTTTAAAATATTTATTGTAGTTGACAACACATATGCTTATAAGTTTAGCATAAATTAGGAAATGCTACTGTAGAAAACGTTTATTTACTCATGTATATGGCCTTTTCCACAAGCTCAAATTAAGGCTTTTGGGTCTTCCAGTGTGTAAACTGTTTCTTAACAATAATATGACTCCATTGCTGAAAATGCAAGAATTTATATTTTTATTTTTATTTTTTTATTTATAAATTTTAGTTTTTTAAAAGATTTTTAAAAATATTTATTTGAGAGGCAGAAATACAGAGAGAGAAGGGAGGGAGAGAGGGAGAGATTGATCTTCCATCTACTCATTCACTTCCCAGATGGCCATAGTGGCTGGGGCTGGGCTGGACCAAAGCCAGGAGCCAGGAGCTTCATCTGTTTGTCCAACGTGGGTGCAGGGGCCCAAGGACTTGGACCATATTCCGCTGTTTTCTTAGGCCATTAGCAGGGAGTTGGATCTGAAGCAGAGCAGCTGGTACTTGAACAGGCGCCTATATGGGATGCTGGCACTGCGGACAGCACCTTGATCCCCTGTCCACAGGGCTGGCTCCTGTAGTTTTGAACAAAGTCAGTGTGGTTTACAGATACAGTTCTAAGAACAAAATGATATTCCTTTCCTCTCTGCCCCTCACCTCTGACTCTCGTGACCTCCTACCTTTTCCCTTTTTTTTTTTTTTTAGTTTTTGAGCTAATATATTTTAAATTTACATTACAGTAAAAAGGCATAACACTTCACTGAATAAGAAGTTTAACAAAGTAAAAAGTACGAAAAAAAAAAAACCTAGGTTAGTGGGAATATAACAACAGCTATACAGAGTAATTGAATGGAAAAGTGACCATTTTACCCAAATACAGTAAATTATAAAGTAATCACAGAGGCTGGTGCTGTGGCGCAGTGGGTTAAAGCCCTGGCCTGAAGTGCCGGCATCCCATATGGGTGCCAGTTCTAATCCTGGTTGCTCCTCTTTCAATCCAGCTCTCAGCTATGGCCTGGGATAGCAGAAGAAGATGGCCCAAGTCCTTGGGTCCCTGAACCTACGTGGGAGACCTGGAAGAAGCTCCTAGCTCTTGGCTTTGGATTGCTGCAGCTCCTGCCGTTGCAGCCATCTGGAGAGTGAACCAGTGGATGGAAGACCTCTCTCTCTGTCTCTACCTCTCTCTGTAACTCTTTCAAATAAATAAAATAATTCTTTAAAAATAAATCATGGATCATTAACACTATAGTCATATAAAATACTGTTTTAATTACTACAGCTTTGTAGTATGCTTTGAAGTTAGGTATTGTGATGTCTCTGGCTTTGTTTTTATTGTTTACATTTGCTGTGGCTAGTTGGTATATTTTATATTTCCATATGGATTTTAAGGTTGCTTTTTGTAGACCTGTGAAGAATGTCTTTAGTATTTTGATTGGGATTGCATTGAATCTGGATAGTGCTTTAGGTAGCTTACAAATTTTAATATTGATTCTTCTAATCCATGAGCAAGTTATATTGCATTTTTTGTGTGTCCTTGATGATTTCTTTGATCAATGTTTGATAATTTTCACTGTAGAGATCTTTAACTTCTTTGGTTAAATTTACTTCTAAATATTTGAATGAGATTTGTTTCTTGATTTGTCTTCTGTGAGTTCATCATTAGCATACAAAAAAGCAACTGTTTCTTATAGGTTTATTTTGTAACCTGCAGCTTTACTGAATTATCAGTTCTAACAGGTTTTTGGTGGTGTATTCAGGTTTTCCCATGTACAATATCATGTCATCTGCAAACGTGGAATGTTTTGCAAAATTCAGTAGTAAAGCCATCAGGTCCTGGACTTTTCCTTGATGGAAGACTTTGGTCATAGCTTAAACCTCGTTGATCTTTGTGGGTCTGATTAGGTTGTCTGTATCTTTTTTTAGTTAATCTTTGAGATAATATGATTCCAGGAAATTATCCATATCTTCAGGGTTTTGCAATGTATTAGCATATGGTTCCTCATAATATTTTCTTAGGATCTTTTGAATTTCAGTGGTGTTGATTGTAATGTCTCTTTTTTCATCTCTAATTTTATTTGAGTTTTTTCTTTTTTTAAGTCTGGTTAGAGATTTTCTTTAATTTTGTTTATCTTCTCAGAAAACCAACTTTTTGTTTAAAATTTCTATTTTTTTTTTATTTCAAGTCCATTATTTCTGCTCTGATCCTTATTGTTTCTCACCTCCTTGTTTCTGTGTTTGGTTTGTTCTTGTTTTTCTAAGTCTTCAAGATGCATCATTCTATCTTTATTTTTTTAAAAGATGTATTTATTTATTTATTTGAAAATCAGGGTTACAGAGAGAGGAGAGAGAGATCTTTGATCCACTGGTTTGCTCCTCAGGTGGCCACAACAGCTAGGGTTAGGCGAAGCCGATGGCGGGAGCCAAGAACTTCTTCCAGGTCTCTCATACAGATAACAGAGGCCCAGGAAATTAGACAACCTTCCAATGCTTTTCCAAGGCCATTAGCAGGGAGTTGGTTCAGAAGAGTAGCAGCCGGAACACGAACCGGTACATGTATGGGATGTCAGCATTGCAAACAGTGGCTTTACCTGTTACCCCAAAATGTAAGTCCTAAATCTTTAATCTGTGACATTTGACTTTTTTTAAATGTAAGCACTTAATGCTATAAACTTATCTCATACTACTGCTTTTTCTGTATCCCACAGGTGTTGTGTTTTCATTTTCATGTATTTCAAGAAAGTTTTTGATTTCTCCCTTTTAATTTATTCAGGGGCCCATTGATCAATCAATAGCATGTTGTTTAATTTCCAAGTGTTCTATTGTACTAATTGTTGATTTCTAGTTTTATTCCTTTATGGTCTGAGAAGAGATATGGTGTGATTTCAATGTTTTTAAATTTGCTGGGACTTTATTTGTGGCCTGATATATGGTCTATCCTAGAAAATGTTCCATGTGCTGATGAGAAGAATGTGACTTCTGTAGCCTGTAAAGGTCTCTTAAGTCCGTTTACTCTTTAGTATGTTTCAACCCCAGTGTATCTTTATTTTCTATCCGGATGATCTGTCCCCTGATGAGATCGGGATGTTGGAGTCAACCACTCCTGTTGTTTTGGAGTCTGTCCCTTTAGGTCTGATAGTTTTTTCTGTGTTTATCTGGGTAATCTTGTGTTAGGCACATATATATCTTTATTATATGTCTTTTTGCTGAATTGACCCTTTTATCAAAATATACTGTCCTTTTTTAAATCTCTTTTTAAAGTTTTTAAAGTATGTTTTACTTTTTTTATGATATCCGGATGACATCTCCTACTTGCTTTTTATTTCCGTTTGCCTGGAATATCGTTTTACAGCTTTTCACTATTAGTCTGTGTGTATCTGTGAAGTGAGTTTCTTCTAGGTAGTGAACAGTGGGGTCATGGTTGTTTTGTTTTGTTTTGTTTTGTTTTGTTTTGTTTTTAATCCATTCTGCCAACCTAAGTCTTTTGGTTGGTGAATCTGATCCATTTGCATTCATTGTTAGTGTGCATAGATAATAACTAAGACATGTAATTTTGTTGAGTGGATAATGGTTCTGCTTGCTCTGTTAGTGAGTGTGGTGATGTCATGTGTTTTCATATTTATATCTAATGCAGAATACCTTATAATTTCTTATAAGGCTGATTTGGTACTGGTGAATTAGAGAGAGAAGGAGAGGCAGAGAGAGAGAGGTCTTCATCTGCTGGTTCACTCCCCAACTGGCCACAAAGGCTGGAGCTGCGCCGATCCGATGCCAGGAGCCAGGAGCTTTTTCTGAGTCTCCTACGTGGGTGCAGGGCCCCAAGGAGTTGAACCATCTTCTACTGCTTTCCCAGGCCATAGCAGAGAGCTGTATCTCAAGTGGATCGAGCCGAGAGTTGAACTGGTGTCCATATGGGATGCCGGCACTGAAGGTGGAGGTTTTAGCTGCTACACCACAGTGCCAACCCCTCTCTTTCACTCTTGACGGATAACTTTGCAGAATAGTAATCTTGCTTGGAAGTTTTTTTGTTTTGTTTTAAGACCTTGAATATATCATCTCATTCATTTCATACCTGTAGGGTTTCCACTGAGAAGTCTGATATTAATCTAATTGATTTTCCCTTATATGTAACTTGATACTTTTCTTTTACTGTCTTTAAGATTCTCTCCTTGTCTTCAACTTTTGACAATTTGATGAAAATGTGCCTTTTTTTAAAAGATTAATTTTATGTATTTGAAAGAGTTACAGAGAGAGGTAGAGAGAGAGAGGGCCTCCATCCGTTGGTTCACTCCCTAGATGGCCACAATGGCAGAAGCTGCGCCGATTCGAAGCCAGGAGCTAGGAGCTTCTTCTGGGTCTCCCACATGGGTGCAGGGGCCCAAGGACTTGGGCCATCCTCCACAGCTATCCCGTAGGCCGTAGCAGAGAGCTGGATTGGAAGAGGAGCAGCCGGGACTAGAACCGGTGCCCACATGGGATGCCGGCGCTTCAGGCCAGGGCTTTAACCTGCTGTGCCACAGTGCCAGCCCTGAAAATATGCCTTAAAAAAAACTTTTTTGATGGAGTCTACTTGGGGTTTTTTGCACTTCATGTATCTGGGTGTCCATGTCTCTTTGAAGACATGGAAAGTTTTTGAGTGTTATATCGTTTAACAGGTTCTCAATGCATTTTTTCTTCTCCCTGAGGCAAACCTATAATATGAATATTTGGTTTTTAATGGTATCCCATGTTTTGTGTCGACTTTCTTCATTCTTTTTAATTCTTTTCTCTTTATTTTGGTCTCTTTGGGTTATTTCAAAATTCTTGTCCTCAAGGTCAGAAATTCTTTACTCCATTCGGTTTATCCTGTTGTTAAAGCTCTCAGTCATGTTTTTTTAGTTCACTGATGGATGATTTCATCTCCAAAATTTCTGTTTGGCTTTTTTGTAATGAGTTCTTCCTCCTTCCTTAGTCATGTTTTCATTCGTCTCACACATTGATTTCCTCATTTTTAAATCTGTCTTTCTGTATTCTCTTGCATCTTGTTGAAGGTCCTTGAAGTCATTATTATGAATCTGTTTCTGTTGTTGCATAGATTTTCTTCAATTCAAGGTCTAGAGGATTATTGTGTTCTTTTGTAGAAATCATGCTACCTTGCTTCTTCATGTCTCCTGTGTTCCTATGTAGACATCTGTGCATCTGGTGTACTTGTCCCTTCTTTATGGGATAGGTTTTATTGTAAATGAGTTTATAGTTTAGCTGGAATACAGGATATCACTTGGCTTATTGCTTTGTGTTTGGTTTAAGTGGATAGAACCAAAGGAGAATAGTCTGTGAGTGATTTATTTTGCCTTAATCGATGTCTTAATCATGTCCCCTGTGTCCCTACATTGACATCTGTGCATCTGATGTATTCATCCTTTCTTTATGGGGTAGGTTGTATTAGAAGAGTTTATGATTTAGCTGGAAGGCAGGGTATCACTTGGCTTGTTGCTTTGCCTTTAGTTCTATGTGAGTAGAAGCAGCAGTGTAGTCTCTAAGTGATTTTTTTTCTTAATCAGCGTCAGCCGTGTCTAAGTGACACAGTGGTCTATACTGCTGCTGCAGTTCATAGGAACAGATGTATATAGAAGTGTGGCATTGAGATGAATATGGGTTACCTCAGTGTGTGTCTTTGGTCCACAGAGAATTCAGTGTCAGTGTACCTGCTGAATGTGATAGCCAGGACCTTGTTTTGGTGCTAAGGGAGACATGGGTGGCTACCTCCTTGTCCTCCTGTTAATAAGCCTGAATGATGCTGGTGCTTGTGGCACCAATTGTTACGGCTCTGACTGCGTGATGCAGAAGGACCCTTCCTGAGGCAATTCCATGAAAGTCCAGCTGGTGCTGTGGCTTGTAACGCTGACCTCCCTAGTTACAGGACTACAGGGTGTGAACTTAATACTGTTCCAGGCCTCAGGGTGACCACAAGCTATACAGGAAGGTTTAATCTAGAGGATATGAGTCCAGAGAGGTGGAATGCAGGTAGGTTCTTCCCTGTGTCCACTGGTTAGATTGCAGTGGCATCAAGAAATTTAAAATGAATGGTTACAGTCCTGGAATTATAGGGTATAGTAGCATCAATACCCAGATCTCCCAGGGTGGGAGAGGACATTTTTATGGGCTCCTTCCAGTGTTAACCCCCAGAAGCTAAGGTGAATTCCCCTGTGAGCATAGCTCTGGGGCTAATGCCCACAAAGTTCCCCAGTTGCAGGATGCTGGGAATCTGTCCTTCGCCTTATGCATTGCTCTAAGATGATGGTAGATGCGGAACACAGCTGTGTTGCTTGACATCATGCTGCTGAGTATGGCTCTTGTGCAGTTTAGGAAGGGGAGGAAAGAAATGTGGCTTCCCTTTTCCAACCCCAGCTGTTGCTCAGACCCCAGTCAGCTCCCCAGGCTAAAGTAAAAGTCAGTGGGTGGCTGTGGAATTTTCCCTTTTGGTAAAACTATGAGCAGTGGGGTGCACAGCAGTTTCTTCCTATGTTGATGTGGTAAGATGGAAGCTCAAAGCCAGCAGCTGGCTGCACTGCACAGCTAGCTACAGTGGGGTGTCTGTCTTCTCTTAGCCGGAGGGGTCTTTGTTTTCTTCCTCCCTTCCCTCCCTTCCCTGCCTCCCTCCCTGAAAATTTTTGTCAGTCAGACCCCTGGAAGCATTGTCTTTTATTTGTTCTTTTCATATGCCAGGGCAGCTTAAGTTGATATGGCTATATTCTATTCAGCTATCTTGGATCTGCCCCTCTGTATCTATTGAGATAGTTGTAAGATTTTTATCCTCGATTTTGTTGATGTGATGTATTGTGTTTGTGGACGTATGTATGTTGAAGTATACCTGCATCTCTGGGATAAATTCCACTTGGTTGGGTGGATGATCTTTTGGATGTGTTGTTGGATTCAATTAGCTAGTGTTTTGTTGACAGCTGTTGCATCTGTGTTCATCAGGGATATTGGTCTATAGTTCTATATCTTTGTTTTATCTTTCTCTAGTTTTGGAATTAAAGTGATGTTGTCATAGAATATAAATAGAGAAAGGTACTCAGCATCAAGAAAGGATGTGATGGCAAAAAATCTAGTAAAACAAAGGAGATTCAAAACAATAAATAGGAATTTTCATGGAAAAATGGCAGGACCAAATCATTGCTTAATAATAATGTTGAATGTAAGTGAACTAAATTCTCCAATTAAATATACAGATTTTCTGAGTATATTGTTAGATCATTTATTTGATACCTTTCCAATTTTTGGTGTAGGCACTTACTGCTATAAACTTTGTTCTAACACTGCTTTCGTTCTATCAGATAAGTTTTGAAATGTTAGGGTTGTCATTGTCGTTTATTTCTTGAGATTTTTTAAATTTCCCTTTTGATTTCTTCTATTTACCACTGTTCATTCAATGGTTTGTTGCTCAGTTTCTATGTGTTTATACATTTTCTAGAGTTTGTTTTGTTGTTGATTTCCAGCTTCATTCCATTGTGGTCAGAAGAGATATACTATATGATTTCAGATTTTTTTAAATTGTTTTAAACCTGTTTTATGGCCTAGTATATGATCAATTCTTGAGAATATTCCATGCACTGATGAAAAGAGTGTATACCTGCTGTGGGATGAAATGGTCTGTAGTATAGACGAACTGCTGTTATATTTCTTTGTTGATATTTTTTCTGCCTGGTCTGTCCTTTGAGGAAAGTGGGGTATTGAAGTCCCCCATTATTATTGTATTGGATTTTGTGTGTCCCTTTAGATTCACTAGCATTTATTTCATAAAAGTGGGTACCATTACATTGGGTGCATCTACATTTACTATAGTCCCATTTTCTTGTTGAATTGATTGCTTACTTAATACTTAATAACCTTCTTTGTGTTTTTTAATGGTTCTGTTTTGAAGTGTATTTTATGTGACATGTAAATGGCTCCTCTTGCTCATTTTTTTGATTACCATTTGCATGTAATGGCTTTTTCCATTCTTGCATGTTCAGTCCTTGTATATCTTTATTGATGGGAGGGTGTTTCTTGTAGGCATCATATTGATGGGTCTGTGTTTATTAATACATTCAGCCAGTCTCTATCTTTAACTTGGAGAATTTAGTCCATTTACATTCAAGGTTGTTATTGAGAAGTAATGACTTAATCATTTATCCATGAATATTCATGTTTGTTTTATATCTCCTTTGTCCTTTTACTAGCACAATTTTCTGTCTTCATGTTGATTATTGATACTGAGTGCCTTTTTCTGTTTCTGTGTAGTATATCCTTCAATATCTTTCCTAAGTCTTTCCAGACGGGGACAAATCCTTTCAGTTTTTGTTTGTCTTGAAAGGTCTTTATTTCACTTTCATTTGTCAGTATTCTGGGTAGATAGTTTTTTCTTTGAGGATTTGGACTTCATCTCTCTGTTCTTTCCTGGCCTGTAGGGTTTCTGTTGAGAAATCTATTAATCTGATTAAATTTATCCTTTAAATGTAATAAGATGTTTTTGTCTTGCACATTTTAGAATATTCTCTTTATGTTTTACTTTTGAAAGTTTGATTATAACGTGTCATGATGAGGATCTTTTCTGATCAAGTCTATTTAGGGTTCTTTGTACTTCCTGTATTTTGCTGAGTAAGTTCTCTAAGTTGTTTTTTCTATACCTTCAGGAATGGAAGACTAAGATTCATATGTTTGGCCGGCACTGTGGCTCAATAGGCTAATCCTCCGCCTGCAGCTCCGGCACTCCAGGTTCTAGTCCCAGTCAGGGTGTCGGATTCTGTCCCAGTCGCTCCTCTTCCAGTCCAGCTCTCTGCTGTGGAGGATGGCCCACATACTTGGGCCCTGCACCTGCATGGGAGACTAGGAGAAGTACCTGGCTCCTGGCTTTGGATCAGCATGGTGTGCCGGCTGCAGCAGCCATTGGATGATGAACCAATGGTAAAGGAAGACCTTTCTCTCTGTCTCTCTCTCTCACTGTCCACTCTGCCTGTCAAAAAAAAAAAAATCATGTTTGTTCCTTTGATGGTATCCCAATAAATCCTGAACACTATTTTCAATCTGATTGTTTCTTCTCTTTGGTGTGACTAAGATACTTTAAAAGACCTGCCTTCTAGGCCAGCACTGTGGTTCACTAGGCTAATCCTCTGCCTGTGGTGCCAGCACATTGGGTTCTTGTCCCAGTCGGGCCGCCGGATTCTGTCCTGGTTGCTCCTCTTTCTGTCCAGCTCTCTGCTGTGGCCCAGGAGTGCAGTGAAGGATGGCCCAAGTGCTTGGGCCCTGCACCTGCATGGGAGACCAGGAGAAGCACCTGGCTCCTGCCATCGGATCAGCACGATGCGCTGCGGCGGCCATTGCGGGAGTGAACCAACGGAAAAGGAAGACCTTTCTCTCTCTCTCTTTCTCTCTCACTGTCCACTCTGCCTGTCAAAAAAAAAAAAAAAAAAAAGAACACCTGTCTTCTAGATCAGATATTCATTTTTCTGCCTCACTATATCTGTTGTTGAGGCTCTCAGTTGTATTTTTTACTTGACTTGCTACTACTCATTTCAAATATTTTTTCTGATTTTTTTTCTTCAGTATCCCTAGCTCTTTGCAGAATTTTTTGGCATGTAACATACAGATTTCTTTTTTTCATGTGACTGTTTCCATATGTTCTTGAGTAAGCTTTCAGTCATTCCTTTGAGTCCATATTAATGTATTATTTTGTTCTTTTTGGGGGAATCTTATTTTGCCTTCCTTGTTTACATTTCTTGTGTTTCTACGTTGGATTTTATGCACCCGGTCAATCACTTGTTATCTCCTCCAGAGAATGGGCTTCTTTATTTTGGATTGAAGGCTTTATTCTGGGAAATAGGCCTCTGTAGCTTTGTGGAGTACTAAGGCTTACATTTGAGTTTTAGGGATGTGTTCTGGGTGGGGCCGGGGAGCTCTGGCCACTGCTTGTGGGTGGGGCTAGAGTCCAAAATAAGAGCCATGTTGGGTGTGGGTCTAGCTACACTCAGTAGGGGGATGAAATATTAGAACCAGTACTCCTCTGTGCCTGTATGAACCAGCTGATTCCAGCCTAGAGAGAGCTCATAGTGCCTATGCATTCCACCCACCTGAACATGAGCACTGTACAGAGCAGTGACCTGTTCTGTAGTGTGGCCCTGTTCCCCAGTGAACTGTTTGTCTGGCATGCAGGGAGTTCTCGGTGTCCACTGTCAGACCATGTAGGGGTACAGAAACCCAACCAGCACCTTTGTCCCTCTCATATCCAAGCCCTGTGCCCACAGCTGTACAGTTTCAGGGTACAGTGAGTCTGTGATCTCTGTGAGCTGGCCCATCCTTGGTGTGGGCTGCTTGCCATTCCCAGGGTCAGAGCAGAGATTGGCTATAGCGCCACGTCAGCAGACTGAGTATGGCTCTTAGGCAGAGCGAGAGGGGAAGAAGCTACATGGCCTCCCTTTGCAGAGCAAAGTAGGTGTTTAGCTCCCTCCCTGTTCCCAGGCGGGACTCAAATCCAGTGAGGGCCGTGGACTTCTTCAGTCAAAGCCACCAGTGCCAAAGGCTGTAGCCGCCACCTCTTGCTTTGCCTGAGAAGATGGCACATTCCAGCTGGGTGCCAGTCAGGAATACACAGCCGCTGTGTGCCTGTCCTCTCTCCTCACTGCTTTACAGAGGCTCTCTTCTGTCCTGACTGTTCTGCACTGGAAATGTCTCCGAATCAGTCCCCTGGGAACGGGGTCCTCCCTTTGTTTTTCTAGTATCTGTCTGTGTCTTAGGTCAGTACAGCATCTCCATATTCAGCCATGTTGAATCTGGAATGTTGGTCTTAAAATCTTTTTAATTGAGACACACACCAAAAAAAACACACATGGAGATGCTGACAGACAATTCCCACTCCCCGCTCCACTCCCCAGAAGCTGGCAATAGCCAGGACTGGATGGACACTGAAACTGGGAGTAGGGAACTCAATCCAAGCTTCCCACATGGGTGGCAGGGAATCTGCTCCTAGAGCTGTGAGTGCTGCCTCCCAGAGTCTGTTAGCAGAGAGCTGGAGGCAGGAGTTGGAGCTAGGGATCAAATTGTGTACTCCAAAGTGGGGAGCTGATGTTTAAATCAACATCTTAACAGGTAAGCCAGAGCCTGCTCCCTTTGAAAGTCTTTTTATGTTGCGGTCATGTTTCCAGCTCTTTGATTTGGATGTGGTCTTCTTACTGTAGATATGTGGGAGTCCCTCATCGGGATTTCCAGCCATATTCTCTCAATACAACAGCAGTGTTACCATCACCAAGCCCATCAGTGAAGAGTAATAATTCATGTGTGCCTGTGTATCATCAGTGCATGATATTGGCTCTTGATTAAAGATAAGCAGTTGTGATGAGTCTTGGAATAGGCCTTTCGAAGATAGTGGATGGTATTCGGATGAGCCATTTTGAAAACAGCTTCACAGGAAGATGTCCTGCAGTTTCATTTCCCATCTGGAGGGTTCCTTTGAAGTGGGAGCTGACCCTGACATGAAGCAGTTGCAGACTCTGAGCCTGCCCAGTTGTTTTTGGCATCTTTGCTGACTAATTCTCCCTTAGAGCAAGGCTCCCAGACGTGTGCCAGCTCGCGTGGCCCCACAGCCTTTGTAGAACAAGCAGAGTAGCTTAATTGCACAAAATCAGGGCAAGTGGATTTCCTGCTGGTGTTCTTTTTTTTTTTTAATTAATTAATTTTTTTGACAGGCAGAGTTAGAGAGAGAAAGGTCTTCCTTCTGTTGGTTCACCCCTCAAATGGACGCTACAGCCGGCGTACCGCGCTGATCCGAAGGCAGGAGCCAGGTGCTTCATCCTGGTCTCCCATGGGGTGCAGGGCCCAAGCACTTGGGCCATCCTCCACTGCACTCCCGGGCCACAGCAGAGAGCTGGCCTGGAAGAGGGGCATCAGGGACAGAATCCGGCGCCCCGACCGGGACTAGAACCCGGGTGCCGGTGCTGCAGGCAGAGAATTAGCCTATTGAGCCGCGGCGCCGGCCTCATTATTTTTAATGATGAGCTGTCACAATTTTTGTTGTTACTCCCCTAAACATAATGTCTGTTTCTTCTCTGGATGTTTTTGAGATTTTTTACTTACCTACTTACGGTGTTGTGGCACAGTGGGTTAAGTTGCTACCCGTGATGCCAGCATCCCATATTAGAGTGCCAGTTCCAGTACTGACTATTCTGCTTCCAACCCTGCTCCCTACGAATGTGCCTGGGAGAACAGCAAAAGATGGCACAAGTACCTGGACCCCTGCCCACCATGTGTGAGACCCAGGGGGAGTTTTTGGCTTGTGGCAGCAGCCTGGCTCTTGGGGCTAGTTGGGGAATGAACCAGAGGGTGGAAGATCGAGCTCTCTCCTCTCCTCTCCTCTCCTCCCCCCCCTCCCCTCTCCTCTCCTCCCCTCCCCTCCCTCTTGTCTCCTCTCTTCCCCTTCCTTCCCCTCCCCTCCCCTCCCCTCCCCTCCCCTCTCCTCACATCTCCTCCCCTCCCTTCCCCTTCCCTCCCCTCCCTTCCTCTACTCCCCTCCCCTCCCCTCTCCCTTTCTCCCTTTCCCCCCACTATGCCTGTCAAATATGAAAAAAATATTTTAAAAAAGATTTTCTACTTGTATATCATCACAGCATTTTGATGACTGCCAGATGTGATTTTTCTGGTATTTTTACTGCTTGGGTTTAGGTTGAGCCTTACAGATCTTGGGATTCATGGATTCCAGCATTTGGAAAAAGAGGCATTTTCCTACCTAAAACTTGTTTGGCACCATCTCTTCATTACTTCTTAGTCCTTGACTAAGGACTGTTTGCTGTGACCTCAGAAGTCTTAGATGAAGTTTTAATTTTTTCCCTAACTTTGTTCTTTTAGTTTCAATTTAGATCCTTTACATTGATCTGTTTTCACTTTCACTAGCAGAGTGGACCAGTCTCCTAAGCACATCGAGGAGATTCTTCAATTCTGAAATTATACTTTTTTAGTACTGAAATTTCCATTTATTTCATTTTTATAGATTCCGTTTTTCTGTTGAAATTCCCAGTCTCTTCCCACATGTTTCCCATCATTTCTACCAGATCCCTTCCCTATTCATTGCAGTTAAACCAGAGCTTCTGGCTGTTAATTCCAACATCTGGTCATCTGTGGTTTATTTCTATTGGTTTTTTTTTCTATTGAATCACATTTTCCTTCCTCTTGTCTCAGAATTTTCCATTTTATCCCAGACTTTGTGTGTCAGCCAACATTGGAGATTGAAGTACGTAACACTTATCTCTGAAAAACGCTCCCCTTCCTCTGTGAGCTTCTTAGGGGCAGGGAGGAGATAACGTAATCATGAGTGGAGTTGGTCTGGGATTTGTGATGGCTTTAATGAGATTCAGCCCAGCTCTAAGTTCAGAGGTTTTGGGGATGATATCTGCAGGGCTCGAGATGTATGCACCAGAAAGCTTTGGGAGAATTCTCTGTACTTTATGGTCCAGCTGCAGTCGTTCTGACCTGAGTGAGACTTGGTTCTCTTTATAATCCAGCACCGTCTGCCTTTGAGGCTTTGCCTGCCTTCTGGGACTGTTTGCATCTCAGGAGACTTCTCCACACCTTGTGTGGCCTGGTGCCCTCAGGGACGAAGCAGCCTCTCTTCCTTCCTACCCTGGTCTTCAGTGAGGCTGCGTGTGCCCAGGGAAGGGCTGCCTCCTCGGGGGTGTTTGTCTTCGTTTTCCTGCCCTGCCTTCATTCTCCGAGGAGCTGCTATAAAGCAGCTGGTAAAACCTGTGTGTGTCTGAGGGGATTTTGTGAGGGCACAGAGGAAAGAACTGGTGGATGGGTGCAGACTCTGTCACTCTGGGATTCTAGTGCATTGTGCTGATAGATATGTGAGCATGAAAAACTTGTTAAGTTTTCCCATTTTCTTACCCCCCATCTGTACCAGGTTTTCTCCTTCTACTACCGTGTGTCTCTCCTACAAAGGCTGTTTCCCTTTCTCAGCTCTCTGAGCAGTTTCACACGTTTGTGGTAGTGTGATTTATTGGGCTTGTTTTTATGAGGGTAGGAATAATAGTCTCTTGTGACTTTACGCACCCTAACTCAAAGTGAAGATGAGCAGCCTGGATTTAAGTTTGGTTTGGGCTCAAAGAACAGGGGAAAACCTGGAGCAATTTCCTGGAGAAGTGTTTAAGTTGTTTATGTGAGGCTGTGTATGATTGGAGCTGTTATGATGAGCAAACTAACCCCCAAATGCCACTGCTTCAGTTTACCCCACACAGTGATGTCTTGTAGATTCAGCAGAAGTCCACAATTGCATGGGGAGAAACTGGGAAATTCCAGAAGTCAAAGTTAGGATTTCACTGAGAGCTTAGCCCCAAAGGCATGCTGCTGATGCAGTCATGAAGACTGGCCGATTCTAGTGATGCAGATTCTCCCCGCCCCATCCATTGTCCAGGTACAAGGTCTAAAATAAAACAGTCTACTTGTCCATGCTGCTGTACCAAGATGTCCATGGCACCAAGCCATGGGTTTATGGTTCAGTATTTAAATACTAACCTTCAAGTTCAGAATAGGTGCCTAGGCAGCAGGCTGACAAACTCAACTGGGCATAGTGTGATAGCTTCTTTGCAGAGTTGTGTAAGTCTTACATAAAGACAATACCAACATACACATGAAATGTTAATTTGAGGTTATATTAATGACTTTACCAAAGCTAGGAAGCATTGGAGCCAGTTTTGGAATCTGGCTCAGCCTTAACGTTCAGTCCTAAAGTTCCACACAGTTTTACAGAGGAGAAAAGGAGCCTCAAAAAGCTAGTAAGTGACTTACTCAAAGGCTCAAGAGTTGTGCCAAAGCTAGAATTCAAGCCCAGTACAGTACTTTTAACCCCCATGATACATTGCCTCGCAGTCCAGTCCCCTTAAGCATGGATGAAATGGTAAGTGGGAGATGTAAATAAGAACTAGAATGCAAGCAGAAACGTCATCAGAAGAAGTGCATCTGAGAGCTACGAGGGACGAAGTCACAGACACTCGCTAAGGTGCTGCAGGGGAACATGTTGTTAGTTGCTATTTACTTTATTCTCTGGCCAGATACTTATGATAGATTACTGTGTGCCATGATCAGTGCTAGACAGAGCAGTATAATGGCCAGCAAAACACAGCCACACTCTCAGAGACCTGACTTTCTGGCAGGAGGCACAAACTGTTAAACCAGCAGTGAAAATACAAGTTGGGCTGCACTCGAAGAGCTCAATATGATTTATTGACTTGATTTGAGTTTTTAAACTGGAACTTGACTCAAACTGAAGGATTTAAACTGAGGAACTGCTCACATTTACTGGCGGTATAAACCTGGCCTCAGTACAGCCGGCTCTCAAGGAGGTACGCAGTATAGAGGCGTAAATTTCCAAACTCCACAGTTACGCAGTTCTCCTTCCTTCTCCAAACTCTAGCAAGCCCTGCTAGAAAGTACTGTTTGATTTTTACTGCATCTGCTCTCCCTTCCGTTCCCCCTCACCAGGATATGTCAGCAAGCACTGAGAAGCTCAGAGAAGTGCAGCAGAAACGTCGCGGCAGGAATCGGACTTGTCCAGAGTCACCGCAAAGCAGGGTCTGCAGGCGCAGCGGCACACACTTCCTCAGGGCCCACCAGGTGCTGGGGGTGTGTTCCCGAACTGCGATGAACAACCTTTGAGGAAGGTGCTGCTGTGGGTGCCACTCTGAGATAAGGAAACTAAGCCACAGAGAAATAATTTACATGAAGATAGTGACAGGACAGGTATTCCAAAGAAGGTACAGAACATTTGCTCTTAACCGCTGGCCTCTCCACCTTTAAATAGCAGTTTCTCAGGGATGGGGTTGTCAGGTTCCCTAGGGTTGCAGTGTCAAGCACTCTGCTTAAACCTTCACATATAGGCTCTGTTGTATTTGTGACTTCCTTTTCATCAGAATTGTTCACCCATTCTCATTCATTCTCCTTCCCTCCCTCCCACCTCCCCCTCCACCTCTCTCCACCACTCCCCCTGTCATCCTACTTCTCTTCTTCCCTACCCTATATTGTTTCTCTAGTAATTAAATAGAGACGTGTACTTCTTTAGTCTGTTCAGATTTTTGAACTTGTTAAAATTTAGCCCTGTATTTTCTTTTCTTTTCTTTTCTTTTTTTACTGTATCTGTATATAGTGGCAACAAGAGAGGGGAGAACAAGTTTATATCACCTCCCAGAACACCACTTGTTTGCATGTATTCTTCTTCTTTTTTTAAAGATTTATTTATTTGAAAGGCAGAGTTAGAGAGAGATAGAGACAGAGGCAGAGAGAGAGATAGAGAGAGAGAGTGTGTGTCTTTCATATGCTGGTTCACTCCCCAAGTGGCCGCAATGGCTGGAGCGGGCCGATCCAAAGCCAGAAGCCAGGAGCCAGGAGCTTCTTCCGGGTCTCCCACATGGGTGTAGGGGCCCAAGGACTTGGGCCATCTGCTGCTGCTTTCCCAGGCCTTAGTAGAGAGCTGTATCAGAAGTGAAGCAGCCGGCCCTTGAACCAGCGCGCACATGAGATGCTGGCACTGCTGGTGGTGGCTTTACCTGCTGCACCACAGCACCAGTGCACGTGTTCTTCTCAACAAGTGCATGTGAATTGGGAAGAGAGAGTTGTCCACCAGTGCAGAATGGAGCACAGCTGGAAAGCTTGTGTACCTTGGCTGCAGAGGGAATGTGGACTCAGACGTCTGTGCTTTGCCAAGGGGATCTCAGGAGCACGAGATATCTGAATCTAATGTGATGCGGTTGGGTATCAGATTTCTTTGGCCAAGAGGTGACGGCTTCATCTTTAACCATATGTCCCTCCAAGAGTTCTTTGCTGCCTTATTCTATCCTCAGACAACCTAGAGACCAACTGAACCCAGCCATTGCAAGTGTGACACAGCTTCTCATGGCAAATGTGGTCAGGTCTGCAGCCACTTGAGGGGATGAGGGTATTCTTTGGAATCTCTAACAGCAAAAGTACCAACATGCTGGAGACATACTTTGGCTTTCTCCTATCCAAAGAGATAAAGCCAAAAATAACCCAGTGACTTCAAAGTGAATGAATGAATATAGAGATTTAGTTTTGCAAAATTCTGGAGATCTGTTTCATAATAATGACTTAACACTATTGAACTGTGCACTCAAAAAAGGTTAAGATGATAAATTGTGTTGTGCTTACAGCACAAACATGCACAAGCACATGCATTTAAGGCAATTGTGGGTTTTTTGTTGTTGTTGTTTTGTTTTTTTACAGATTTGTTTGTTTATTTGAAAGTCAGAGTTACATAGAGGAGGAAAGGCAGAGAGAGAGAGGTCTTCCATCCACTGTTTGACTCCCCAGTTGGCTGCAACGATCAGAGCTGCACTGATCTGAAGCCAGGAGCCAGGAGCTTCCTCCAGTTCTCCCACGTCGGTGCAAGGTCCAAGGACTTGGGCCATCTTCCACTGCTTTCCCAGGCCATAACAGAGAGCTAGATCGAACCGGCCCCCATATGAGATGCTGGCACTGCAGGTGGTGTCTTTACCAGCCATGCCACAGCGCCAACCCCAGACTATTGTCTGGAATTTTAAAAACTGTTACGTGATACTCTGTTCTTTAGCTTCTCAGTTGTAAGATATGAAGGTGCATCAACAAGTCTGTGGTAAAGTCTCTGTTTCTTTGGGTTGCATTCTGATCATCCTGTTGTGGGTGATGACATACTTCACTCATTTCCTCTTCACTAATGCTTAGCATTCCAAATTAACTCTTGAAATAACTCATTCTTTGTCTCTAGGATTGTAATTAGTTTCCTTTACAAAATTTCCTGCTTATTTTTATAATGTCTCCTTGTACCTGTTTCTATTGCCATCTTATATTTTACTGCATGTATCAAACATAATTGTTTTACATATTATATTGGATAATTTCAGTATTGGAAGTATTTCTGAGGTTGTGTTTTTTAATTAATTAATTAATTAATTTGAGAGGTAGAGTTGCAAGCAGAGACAGAGAGAAAGGTCTTCCATCCGATGGTTCACCCCCCAAATGGCTGCAACAGCCGGAGCTACGCCAATCCAAAGCCAGGATCCAGGTGCCTTTTCCTGGTCTCCCATGCGGGTGCAGGCGCCCAAACACTTGGGCCATCCTCCACTGCTTTCTGGGGCCACAGCAGAGAGCTACACTGGAAGAGGAGCAACCAGGACTAGAACCCGGCGTGCATATGGAATGCTGGTGTTGCAGGTGGAGGATTAACCTAGTGCACCATGGCATCGGCCTCTGAAGTTGTTTTTTAGGAATTTTTTGAGAGGCTGGCACTATGGCACTATAGGTTAAGTCTCTTCTTGTGGTGCCAGCATCCCATGTGGGCACCGGTTCATGTCCTGGCTGCTCCTCTTCCAATCCAGCTCTCTGCTATGGCCTAGGATAGCACTGGAAGATGACCCAAGTGCTTGGGCCCCTGCACCCATGTGGGAGACCCAGAACAAGCTCTTGGCTTTGGATCAGTCCAGTTCTGGCCTTGTTGGCATTTGGAGAGTGAAACAGTGGATGGAAGAACTCTCTCTCTCTCTCTCTCTCTCTCTCTCTCTCTCTCCCCCCTCCCCCCTACCCCCGTGTGTGTGTGTGTGTGTGTGTGTGACTCTGCCTTTCACAAAAAAAAAATGAAACAATTTTTTAGATGTGAATTGAAAACACTTCCTCTGGGAATAAATTGGATTTGCTTTTACTTTGTACTGAACAACACTACGGACCTGGATTTACTTTAAATAATAATCTTTGGATTCACATATTTGAGATTAAACCAAGTGGACTGACTCAGTATGTCATGTGAGAACACCTAGCATCTGTGTAGTCACAGGAAACTGTTCTTCATCATCTCTATCCATAGCCCAAACCGAGAGGGAAAATATTTGTGGTTTCCATCACCGTTTCACTAAGGGTACAGCATTTTCTGGAGCAACCTCCTGCAAGGTGCTTTTCAAAATGGCCCTAGCACTGCCGAGCCCCCAGCTTTGTCTTGGATGCTTGGCCCTGGGAGTTTAGTGTACCCAGAAGATCCAGTGTCGCTTCTCTGTCTCACGTCTTGCCACTGTTGTGACTCAGGGACCAGCACACAGGTTCTCCTGTCATCCCACAGGTTCTCTTTCTCACTTTAAGCACATAATTCATCAAACAGTAGTGTGTGTTGATAGCAAGAGACTGCTTGATTCTGTATTTTCTGGGTTGCCTGCAATAGGTCTATAATTGAGGAATACTTTCCACATGTTTGATACAATATGTGGGTCAGATACAAGTGTTTTATTTAATAACCATAATTTGTCATTTTGCTTTGTTTTGCTTTTGTAAAGATATATTTTTTATTTTTAAAATTTTATTTAAGGTATGCACATTTCATGTATTTCATATATACACATTTAGGACCATAGTTATATTTCTCACTGTACCCTCCCGTTTTTAGTACATGATACTTCCATTTTATTATTCAAATTTGTGTTTTAAAAATAACGTATGCTTTTGCTGATGATTTTGAAAAGTCATCCACATCAAAAGTTTATGAAGGAATTTTTTTTTTTTTTTGACAGGCAGAATGGATAGTGAGAGAGAGAGACAGAGAGAAAGGTCTTCCTTTTTCCGTTGGTTCACCCTCCAACGGCCTCCACGGCTGGTGCACCGCGCTGATCCGAAGGCAGGAGTCAGGTGCTTCTCCTGGTCTCCCATGGGGTGCAGGGCCCAAGCACTTGGGCCATCCTCCACTGCCTTCCCGGGCCACAGCAGAGAGCTGGCCTGGAAGAGGGGTAACCAGGAAAGAATCCGGCACCCCGACTGGGACTAGAACCCGGTGTGCCAGTGCCGCTAGGTGGAGGATTAGCCTATTGAACCGGAATTTTTACATAAAATAAAAGTTTTCTTTATTCCAACTGAAACTGACTTCTGTATGTAAGATGAGGAAAGAGTTACTTTGCCATTTCCACAACAAACCACCAGCCAGCAGCTCCTCCTGGCTCAGACATGTGAGTTTTCCTACCCTTCTTGAGGTGAGTCTTCATTAGAGATGAATTTTTGATGATTAACTATATTTAATGATGTTATATACTTAGGTTAAATGATATAGCCAATAATTATTTTATCTTTTTATATTAATTTTATATGTTGTAATGTGATTGGAAAATTTTGCATGTCTGAAGTTGTTTTAGCATAAGATTCATAGTAGTTATGAATTTAAATTTTTTATTGTTTCTAGAGTTATATGAGTTTATTGTGAAATTCTGATATGTCTTACTTGATTTAATATAACACTGGCAAATGTTTGGAGAGGACACTGTCAGGTTTAAACTCATTCATCTATTTTGACCCTAACATTCTTTTAAAAAAGCTACGTGTTTATTCTTGCTAGAGAAATACTTTCTCAATTCTGTAATTTGCATTACTTTATTAATGAAAATGAATACTGTCTTTCATGCTATAAATATCATATATACCTCACTTTTTAAATTTGTCCTTTACTCATGAATTAATATATCTTAATTATACTGACTTTTGTCTATCTTATTTTAGATGTCTGTTCTCCTTGGATGTTTGCTTTCTGATGGGTTTTGAATCTGGTGCTTTTTAATTTGCATTTTGTTTTTTGCCTGCGTTGGATCTCCCATCTCCAAATGCTTCAGGTCTTTGTTTTACCATCCATCACCCTCTGTGGTGCCTGCAAAATGCAAAAGATACTTCAAAAAGATCATGGAAAAATGAATTAAAACTGTCTATTTTGCTGCAAAAACGATTTTGGAATCATGCACATTTTTCAAAGTATACATTTTCCATTAACTTTTTGAAGCTGCCGAGTCTGGGTGTTAGTGTATGTGCGTGCGTTGTTACGTATATATGTGTGTATACACATATATTACTGTGATGATGGAAGATGTCTAGCAATGGATGAGCTTCTGCCATAGGCCATAGGCTGTTTTGAAAGGATTTTAGTGTCCCATAGATTAGACTGTGTTGAATTTTCATTTAAAATTGCTCTGAGAATAGAAATGTTGATAAAGATGATAGTGTCACAGATATGTATATCAATATATCAATATGATCTGCAAGTTGATTTTACTGAGGCTGCCACTCCAATCATTAGGAATATTTTAACATAAAATTGAAAGTTTCCTAATGCAAAAACTAAGACTGTTCACTTTCTGATTATTTTCTTTTGAAAAAAAATTAATAACAAATGTAAAATCACCTGACTTTAATTGCAGAGAAAATGTGTGAAGTGACATTTCGGCATGTTGGTATTCTCATGATGTCAGCTAAGAGATGTGTGAAATCAGCCAAGGCTACTGTCATTAGTTTATTCAGGGCCTCTCAACCAGAGAAACAAACAATTAGCGTGTTAAAATTATTCACTCTTAACATATCATTATGATCCCTAAGTATCAGGCTGACCATGTTGATTGGACCCTGACAGAAACGGGCAAGAATGCCATTTAGCGAGCAGCACAGTGTTGTCAACGGGCTAATAAAGATGACATTCTCAGTGTCAGCTGGGGAGAGCAGCAGGGGAGGAGCGAAGCGGCTGGCGAGCACACTCAGCCCGGCCAAGGCTGCCGGGCCGCTCAGGCTCCTCAGCAGTGCTGCTCTGGGCGTCACTGCCGTCTCCTCAGCACACCCTGCCCGGGCTCCGTCAGCCTTCCCTCTGCAAGGCCGTCTCAGGCAGGGCGCTGCTCGGGGCGGGGGAGCGACGCCATGCTTCGGAGCGCTCAAGGAGAGGGTTCTGGTCTTTGACTTGCAGTTTAATTCAGATATAGTAGTACTGGACCTTGAAATACTACTCCTTGCATCTGTCCACTCCACCATCTGTAACCAATCACATACAGAAAGTTAATTCAGGAGTTTCTAAAACATTTTTGGAAAGTCAAAACCTATGATTTTTCCATATGAGAGTTTTAAAAAAAAGAAAGAAAATGTATATGACCATTTTTAAGTTTTGTAGTGGGCTGTGAGGTCTGCCCCCCCATGTCAAATTAGACATGTGATGTCAAAGCACAACTATAGACAACAGCAGGTAGAAGTTTGGGTGGATTCTTCTAGAAGATGTCCTGACGCAGACTGTGGTCACTCTGACTTAGGGTGTGGGTATCCCAAATCCAGGCTTAGTGGCTGTGCCCAACACCAACCCCATGCAGTTTCTTTAGACTCCTACATAAGTTTGCTAATGCTTTCCCTAGCTTTTGCATTTGCTAGTGCCGTCCAAAGCATTCTTCCTTTCTGTTATTAGTGCCTGTCCCCCAGGTTACCTTTCTGTGTAAGGAGCAAGGCCCAGAGAACTTCATTATCACATGGAATGAAACTGGCCTTTTGTGCACCTGGCTCTAGGGCTGTCAGCCTGATTTCTCAGCAGGTTAGACACATAGCTCAGCTGCAGCTTGGTGACATGCCATGTACATGAGTGACACCAGTTTGTTGGGGCCAAGCACAGGAGCTTAGTTCAAATCAGTGGCCTCTTATAATTCGTAGGTTAACATTTGGGGCTAATCTCACCATGTTCATGTCCTTTGTCTTACTGATATTGGTCACGAGAAGAAGGCTAGGACTGGCAGGCCATTCCTCTTTGTGCTCCTCCCTGACCCAGTCTCTTGCCCTTTCCTGCACTGGGTCCTGCAGAGCAGTGACCAGCAGATTCCTCATGTCCTGGGTCTTTTTGAGGCAGGGCCCCTTCACCTTCAGGTCTGAGGAAAGCCTGACTCTCTCCCACGGACTCGGCCACGCCAGGGTTAGGTGGCGCTTGCCCTCACGCCCCTCTCACTCCCAGACCTGGAGATACTGAAGGTGTCTTTCCTTATTGATTGTGGTCCAGGCCCTGTCCTGTTCCCCAGATCCTGCCAGCGTGGACTGTCGGTCAGCCCTCTTCTGTGTTGCTGTCATTGTCTACATCCCGTGAAGGACCTGCCTCCTGTCATTCTCTGTCATATCCCACAGTAGCCTGATGTGACTTCCGTATGCAGATAGATAGCATGGTGACCACGGCCCTGCTGGGCCAGAACCTCCTCCCGCACTGAAGGAGGGAGTTCTCGCTCCACCTGCACAGTCTCCGCTGCAGACCTCCCTCGACCTTGTCCTCCAAGGTGACAGCAGCCCTGTCTGGCCAGAATTTCAGTCACAAGCGTCCTGTTTCCAGACCCCTGACTTCATCTTTTCCAGCTCAGTCCAACTCCTAAATCCCTACAACCGACTAACCCTACATGGAGCTATTACCCATTTTTTAAAATCACCTTCTTAACTTTCCTATGTGCTCTTTATACCCTCGTTTTGTTGGGGGTGTTTCCATAGGTTCCATAGAACCTTGAAACCTGGGCTGTTCCCCTGATGTTCAGAAGGCCAGTAACTCACGTCAGTTTGGTGGGAGAAGGTCGGTATTTATTGTGAAGCACAGAGCAAGGAGCCAGGCAGCTATCACTTACTCCCAGGATCGCCGAGGGTAAGGGGTGAAAGTTCTGATAGGTTGACATTGGAGCTGAGAGGTGTGTATTTAGTTTGTGTCCAAGCTCCTGGTTGGTCAGTGGTACTTGTGACTTTGCTTTGATTAGTCAGCAATGCCGTACTCTTTGGGGGAATTTTTAGAGTGGGCAAGTAAGTCTTGAGGGGTGGGGGAGGCAGATGTGGGTTGCATGTAAGTGGCAGTTACTTTCTGCCCCAGACTTGGAATGTATTTGTGAAGACATAGAAATCTGAATAAACCTCTCTTATTAACACTGGCCAGCAGGGTTTGATCCAATGGAGAAACAATTGACCGAGTCCATTGATGAGAATCTTGTAGGGCCAGCTGCATCAGTTCTTAACTTAGTGAGTTCCTTTAGCCATTCTAAGGGAAGGGCAAGGTCACTTTGCATTCAGGGTGGGAAGGTGGGTCCTGTGCTCTTAGGGACACTTAAAGAAGGATTTTATTTCAGTATTTCAGTTTCCCTACTTTGTAAGCTAAGGTTCAAATAACTGAATAAAGAAAAATTGATAAAAACCATGCAGTCTGCAAAATTAATAATACTAAATGATTTCTAAGTTCAAAAAGATGATATAAGGAACACATGTAAGGTTGAATGTTATTATCTTTTTTTTTTGAAGATTTATTTGTTTATTTGAAAGAGTTACAAAGGGAGCAGAGAGAGAGGGGTCTTCTATCCACTGGTTCACTACCTAGATGGGAGGAACAACCAGAGCTGGGCCAGGCCAAAGCCAGGAGATAGGAGCTTCATCCGGGTCTCCCATGGCTGTAACAGGGGCTCAACACTCAGGTCATCTGCTGCTGCTTTACCTAGGCAATTGGCAGGGAGCTGGGCTGGAAGGGGAGTAGCAGGGGCATGAACTGGTACCCATATTGGATGCTACCATCATAGATGGCAGCTTTACCCATTATGCCTCAACACCAGCCCCAGGGACAATATCTTTATTACATTTCAGAATACATGGAATTCACCTTAACATGTCATTTAAATTTAATTTAGAAACATTTAAACTAGAATCATTTAAACTAAAATTAAATAAGCAAAGCATTAACTGCAAGAAGTTTTAAAGAAAGTACTAATACAAGCATAAAGAAACGAACTTAAAATGTGGGCTTACATAGATAAATATGTGAGACAAATGAAAAGTAAAATAAAAATAGAGAAGATTAATGTAAGCAAATGCTGATTTTTTTGAAAACACTTAATAGGATAGACCTCTGTTAAAATTGACAAAGAAAAAATAAGAAAACAAAAAAATGCAGAGTAGCAACCTCAGACAGAATTGACATTAAAGGGGCCGGTGCTGTAGCATAGCAGGTTGTGGGGAGCAGCTCGGACTAGACTAGGTTACTGGAATTAAGACTTATTCTATGCATCTGCTCTCCTCTGTGGGAAGCAGCTCAGACTAGACTAAGTTACTGGAATTAAGACTTATTCTATGCATCTGCTCTCCTACAATATGGCGCTGGGAGAGGAGAAAACAGCTTCTACCCAGCTGCCTCCAGTTCAACCAATAAACTGTAGGACTTGCTCCTGATTGGAGGAGAGCGGCGTGCTCGGCGTGTGGGCAGCCGAGTTAGGATTGGCGGAGGAGGACTATAAAGGAGGAGAGAGACGGCATGCACCAGGAACATCTAAGGGGAACATCTAAGGGGAACACCTGTGCAGCCCCCGAGAGAGCCGGCCGGCGGTGTGCCGCTCCCCTGCGGAAGTGGGGAATGTGGCCAGGGGGAACTGCCCTTCCACGGAGGTGGGAGGGACGGTAGCCAACCCGGGAAGAACCAGCAGCAAACCCGGGGAGGGCCGAGCAAACAAAAGAACAGCGCAGGGTCCTGTGTCGTTCCTCCACGAAGAGGGGGAGCGACATAATGGTGCCGTGACTCGGATAGGAAACCTAAGAGGAAAGAAACAGGAAGAAGTGGAAAATTACCGGAGAGAGAGACTAGCAAACAGCCTAGGGAAAAGCCGGACGAAAAAGGTGCCGGAAAAAGCTATTGAAAGCCTAGGCATAGACTCGGATATGGACTACGGGGGGAAGCTGGGAGAAATCTCTAAGGTCGAAAGCGAAAGTGAAAGCTAGAACAAACAGACTCGGATACGGACTGTGGGGAGAAGCCAGGAGAAATGAGGGAGGAATATTGTTGGAAGAAAACTTAGGGAAACATACCAGGTAGAGAAAAATGTTAGGGAAAATGAAGCCGCGAGTGCAGGCCGAGGCGGAGATATAAGCCACCTTGGAATTCTTCAAGTCACCCCGGGGAGCAAGAGGCGAAGATCTGGAACCAGAGGCAGAGACGTGGGCCACCAGGTTGAAATTCGCCAGGTTAGTCCGGGGAACTTGGACTGAATGCCGGTGGTGGTGGAAACATTCGCGGAAGCCGCCGCGTGCAGAGAGAGCATGGGGCGTGAATAGATAGGGAACGCGGGGCTGGCGCGATGCCGTGGTGCGGGCGCGAAGTGCGTGGAGACCGCGGAGCGTGCGCGCAGAGCCGGGAACCCGCAGGCGGGGCGAGGCGCCGGGAAGCCGCGCAGAGCCGTGAAGCTGCCGCGGGGCGAGGTGCTGAGAAGCAGCCTCGGGGCGAGCGCCGCCGGGAAGCCGCAGGGATAAGAGAAACAGAAGTTTAGAAGTAAAAATAGAGAAATAGGAATGCTGGAAGATAGAAGTAAAATGGGAGAAATAGGAATGCCCGGAGATAGAGAAACAGAAAAATAAGGCCTCCCATCAACATGGCAATGAGAGAGCTTGGATTCGGTCTGCCCGATTAGTGAGGCGATGAGCACCTGCGGCGGCTAGCAGCTTATGCGCCGCAGGTCACCGAAGACAGGCACGAACCAACACTAATAAGTCTCCCCCACAATACGGCAATGAGAAGGCTTGGATTCGGTTTGCCTGATTGTTAGGGCTTGTAAGCCCCTGCAGGCAGAGCAGAGCATGCGCTGCAGGGCACCGAACACAGGCACGCATCAGCGCCTAAAAACCTCCTCACAACATGGCGAAGAGAGGACCCGGATTCGGTTTGCCTGATTGATAGGACTTGTAAGAACCTGTGGCAACTCTAGCAAGTAGAGCAGAGTGTGTGCCGCGGGACACCGAAGACAGGCGCGTATCAACGCCAAAAAATAAAAAGAAAGGGGGATCTGTGGGGAGCAGCTCGGACTAGACTAGGTTACTGGAATTAAGACTTATTCTATGCATCTGCTCTCCTCTGTGGGAAGCAGCTCAGACTAGACTAAGTTACTGGAATTAAGACTTATTCTATGCATCTGCTCTCCTACAATATGGTGCTGGGAGAGGAGAAAACAGCTTCTACCCAGCTGCCTCCAGTTCAACCAATAAACTGTAGGACTTGCTCCTGATTGGAGGAGAGCGGCGTGCTCGGCGTGTGGGCAGCCGAGTTAGGATTGGCGGAGGAGGACTATAAAGGAGGAGAGAGACGGCATGCACCAGGAACATCTAAGGGGAACATCTAAGGGGAACACCTGTGCAGCCCCCGAGAGAGCCGGCCGGCGGTGTGCCGCTCCCCTGCGGAAGTGGGGAATGTGGCCAGGGGGAACTGCCCTTCCACGGAGGTGGGAGGGACGGTAGCCAACCCGGGAAGAACCAGCAGCAAACCCGGGGAGGGCCGAGCAGACAAAAGAACAGCGCAGGGTCCTGTGTCGTTCCTCCACGAAGAGGGGGAGCGACAGCAGGTAAAGCCGCCGCTGTAGTACCAGCATCTCATATGGGCTCTGGTTCTAATCCCAGCTGCTCATCTTTCAATCCAGTTCTCTGCTATGGCCTGGGATAGCAGGAGAAGATGGCCCAAGTCCTTGGGCCCCTCCCCCATGTGGGAGACCTGGAAGAAGCTCCTGGCTCCTGGCTTCGGTGCAGCTCCGGCCATTGCAGCCATCTGGGGAGTGAACCAGCGCGTGGAAGAGCTCTTCTCTTCTCTCCCCTCCCTCCCCTCTCCTCCCCTCCCACCCTTCTCCTCCCCTCCCCCCTCCCCTCCCCTCTCCTCTCCTCTAGAGATTTTCTGTGATTTTCAAGTTAAATAAATAAAGAATTGATACTAAAAGTGGTTATGAGTATCATAGCAACAATATGCTAACCAATATGAATACTTACCTGAAAGGAGTATATTTGAAAGCTTAAGTGAATGGGGCAGTTTGGAAGAAATGTGAAAATACTAGGACTGGCACAGTTCTCCAAAGCTAGTTGAGATCAGCAGTTTTGTTTGTAGGGCACCGCATTTCTCTAGGAAGCTAGTTCGCTGCGGCTATGGTTTGAGTGATTTGTTTGTCATCCAGGGAGGGATTCAGGTTTGGGAGGCCTCATCCTCAGTCTGATGTGTTGTGCCTGGTGTACATTCCTTAGGGAATTGGGGGCACTGCCCTCTGCAGGATAATGGTAACGCTCTTGGGACCTGAGTGGTTGCAGGGGTGAGCCCAGGCCAGGCCTGGATCCCTCTGTACTCACAGCTGACTGTGGGATCTCACACTCCCGCACAGGCTTCCACACTGTGGGGCCATCTGTCACATGGCCCTCATAGATCTGCGGTAAGGCCATGCCCTACCCCAAAATCCCCAGTGCTGCGAGCTAAATCACCTGTTTGTTTGTGAAGTTATGCAACTTCAGGTATTTTGTTACAGTTGTGAAAAATGGATGAATACAGCTTTAATACTAGAAGAATTGATCTTACAATCTCACTATAGCAAAAGAGGACAAGGAGAAAGGCAAGTGGGGGCAAAGAAGAAAGTATAAATTTGAAGAAAATATAAGACACTGAAGATGAAACAAGGTCCAAACATCTGACTTCCAAAAGCTTCAGTCCTGGATGATTGTGCAGATACATTGCACTAAGCTTTTTTAAAAAAGATTTATTTATTTGAAGGCAGTTACAGAGAGGCAGAGAGATAGAGAGAGAGGTGTTCCATCCACTGGTTCACTCTCCAGATGGCTGTAATGGCTGGAGATGCGCTGATCCGAAGCCAGGAGCTTCTTCCAGGTCTCCCACGTGGATGCAGGAGCCAAGCACTTGGGCCATCCTCTACTGCTTTCCCAAAGTAGAGCAGCAGGTACACGAAGTGGCACCCATGTGGGATGTCGGCACTGCAGGCTGCAGCTTTACTAACTATGCCACAGTGCTGGCCACTGTACTAAACTTTTTTTTTTGTCAGATAGAGTTAGACAGAGAGAGAGACAGAAAGGTCTTCCTTCTGTTGGTTCACCCCCCAAATGGCCACTATGGCCAGTGTGCTGCGCCAATCCGAAGCCAGGAGCCAGGTGCTTCTCCTGGTCTCCCATGTGGGTGCAGGGCCCAAGCACTTGGGCCGTCCTTCACTGCCTTCCCGGGCCACAGCAGAGAGCTGGACTGAATGAATGGTACTAGGTAAACTATATCACATGAAAAGATAGTTTAAAAATTTCCAGTGAAAGTCCACAGTGGCTCTCCATTGAAATTCAAAGCCTCCGGTTGTGCAGAGGGTGGCTGTATCCAGTCATTGTGGAATCAGTGGATCTGAATCATAGAACTTTCTAAGTCCTGTTCCATATTCCCCTTGATGACCTGAGCATTGTCCCTTGATGCCATTCTCTGAACCAGATCAGCTTTCAACTGGCTAAACCAAGCTCCATCTGGAAACCCAGATGCTGCGTCTGGTCTGCACTACTCAGTAAGAACATCTTCCCCCTTCTGCCATCAAGGAAATGCCAGTTGATATCTTAATTGTTGCTATCTGGCAGAAGAAGCATACACCTGTTGACAGACTGGCTCAAAACAATTTTGGAAGGAAATTTCAGAACACAAGATTCCTCTCAGGTCAGGACCACTTGAGTCTGCCACAAAAGAAAGGGCTGGTACCTGACTGCATGGGCTGCTGCTTGCACAGGTGTGCATCCCCGTTCTTCCTGGCCGACGTGCAGCCATCAGCCCTGCAGCCAGCCCTGGACTGAGCAATCCCACAGAAATCTGCCAGGAACCGTCTCTTGGGACACTTGCTCCAGGTTTTGGATAATGCCTGGAAAATGTATTTATGAAAGATGTGGGAGATTTTCAACCTTGGCAAATGAAAGATGTTTATAAATCCATCCTTAAGTGGACACACATTGTACACAGGCAGGGCAGCTTAGCAGGGATATCCTGTGAAATGTCTTTAATAAATACACAATTAGAGAATCAGGCCTGTAGGCTTTCCTGGATGAGACGTGGCTGCAGCAGCCTGTAGCTGGGGTTTGAAAGCTGAGGCTTCCTCTGACCCCAGGAGGGCGGCAGCCTTCTCCTGCACAAACCCCTGGCATTGAGTGCATTGCACCTCCTCGTGATTTTCCAGAGTCCAACTTGGCCAGCTCTACCTACACATGTTCAGCTTTGCAGTGATTTATGTCATGTGTTCCCTCTGCTTCTTTCAATTTGGCATTGGTTCCTATCATTCCCATATGTCAACAGGTTACTTTCACTTCAGCCATCTTGGACAGGCCCCCGAGATAACCATGGTTTCCAAACCAGGGAAAATGGTTATAGGAAAATAATGTGAATGAGCTATCCGATTCCAAACATGCTCGCTTCCCACGGATTCTTAATTCCTGCACTCAAGACTCTTGGGGACCTTCTCTCCCTGGGTGGGCCCTGGTGGTTTCGACTCCTGTGTTCTGTTGAGCCCCAGTCCTCTCTGAAGAGTTAGATGCAGAGCACTTCAGCCCACAGTGGAAGCACAGCTTTGCTCTTTGCTTAACGTCCGTCATTCCCAGAGCCAGGAACACTTAATTCATCTCCTTCCTCTTATTAAGGACCACTGTCTACTGCGCGGACAATTGAAGGCTGGCTTTAAAACACCCTTTCCTCAAGGAAATGTTATTTCACTTTTGAAAAGGACACATCATTTTAATAGGAAACTGTTCATTTCATTACAGTTCCTTGTAGAAAGGAAGAGGTGTAGCTCCCATTGTGTGTAGTGCGCCAGCTGTCGCATCAGGTGGGCTGATACAGGGCACCAATGCTGGGTCAACACAGTAAGAACATCGAGGTGAAAAGAGAGGAAGTCTAGCACAGGCTGTTTCCATCACTGATTCTCAGTAGGCGCATGTTGAGTATAAAGGTTCCTCTCCTAACTAACTCTGCCGTCCCAGCATCTGGAGTGTATATGGAGCCTGGTGGGGAGGCAGTCTCTGCTTCTTCTAGTTCCCCTGACAAGGTCCTGTGGGTGCTACTTCCCTGCAGGGAATGCAGTCAAAGCTTCACAAAGCCGTTAGGTTTGATTTCCTCATGTTCGGGACCAAGGAGTAGGGTGGCTCTGGCCTGGCTCGTTACTGTGCGGTTCTTCCTCACCATCACACTGCAGGCAACGGAGTTTGTGTGCAGAGTTGCTTGGGTTGCCGTTTTCAAAGCAGGGATCTTGGCAGTCCTTCTCAGAGCCAAGTTGTCATTGACTTTCTGTAGCCAGGGAAGCTTTGCACCCATTTCGATCTCAGCATGTCAGCTTGATAGTTCTTTGAAGAAAGCAGACAGACATTTCATCTGGCTTCTCTGTGCTGCTTGTGAGTGGTGACTGAAACTGACCTGCTTTTTCATGCAAACATGATGCAGAAGGCCCCGGGACCAGGGAGTGTCTGTGTGTGAGGGGAGCAGAGCTGGAAGCTGGCTCTCCCAGTGGGCACCGATCACTTCAGGTGCTGCAGAAGAATTCATGGTAGAATTTGCATTTTCAACTGTTTGTTAAAGTCACATACCAAGTCAAATTTAATTAGTCATATTCATCCGGCAGATGGTACAGCATTCTGTAATAAAGTATAAATTCCTTCCCTTAATTGGGTAATGCATTTCATATGATCTTTTTTACAAATTTCAGAACTGATTTTCTTCAAACAGGCCTGCACATTATTTGGATGCCAGCCCAAACAGGTTAAAATGGATTTAATACTTTCTCCCCACAGAACATTATGTAAATGAAAGCAAGTCTGCCCTGAGTGGCTAATTTTACTGTCTGCTTCTACATAAATCACATCAGCATCTGGGAGGACAAGTGGGAGTCAACTGAATTATGTGTGAACAAGTTTCTAAAACTTCAAACGCAGAGTGGTACAGTCAGATTAAAATACATTCAGATTGTTGCATAATGGAAGAGCCTGATGTCCAGGTTATCAATTTGTTTAAGTCACCTTTGCTAACATTAAAGAGAGTCTTCATGGATTCAGCATGTTGATTTTCCTTCCAGGATAACCCATTAACCCAAACATTAAAACTGGGGCTGGAGGTTTCTTACTCTATATTATTTAGATGAACATCTGTGGGCTCACAGTTTGGACAATGTGGGCTGAAACAGAATATTGCACACTTGGTAGACTCTAGGTTACTGCTGTTTGCACTAAAGAGAATTCATTTTTCCCCTAAACACTGGGGCATTGCTTCAGGCATTTGCCTGCTTAAGTAATTTGGAAAGTGCTGAGTTTTCCCAGCCTGCGTCAACGGCCCTTAAAGCTTACAAGCAGACTGGCTGAGTGCTAGAAGTGGGGGAGATGCTAGCCATCATTGAGCGCATCAGGGACATGGCTGTCTTCGAGTGCCGAGTGCAGGCGTTTCTACTTGAGTAGGCTATGTGTGCTTTGTACATCTTCTTTGACAAAGTCCACTTGTCATCCTCTTACAGTCCCGTATTGCATCATGCTGATACATATGTATGGGCCCAGGACTCACAGACAATCCTGTAACTCAGTCACAGGGGTAGCTGATGTCCAGCCTAAGTCTGGTGTCTCAACTTCTGGGTAGATACTTCTCCCATCACATTGTGTTACCTCTTAGTTGAGAAAAGTGTGAGATACAGATTAAAAGGGAAGAACAACTTTCCCTCTAAAGTGCAGTGGCTGGAGCCTGCAAATTAAACTGGTAAAAGGTAGAGTAACAGGAAAAGGTACACTTTTATTGATGCTCTGTTTTTATACATATGGAAGCTTCATGGAGAAGAAATGAAAATGCCAAGAATTGATTATACTCCAGGTCTTCTACGTCCTTTTCACAAATATGAAAATTGTGGGCAAAGAGGGCTTGGGTTTGTAGGAGTGTAGAACTGTGGGAAAGGGAGCAGGAGGAGGAGGGAAACCAGTGGAGCCTCTGGGTTATCCTCGTGCAGCTTGTGTGGATGGTCTTGCTGGTATTCGCCACCGTGAGCAATAGCAGTCACACTCTTCTTCCCACTGCAAAGAGCACCTTCCTCAAACTAAAACTTAGGCTTTGCTTTCAGGCAGGTAAGATGAGGAAGCAGATAATTGTTTCTGAATCCACTGTTTCTCATTTGCCTTCAGCCCAAAATGATCTTTATGCCAAAGTGGCTTATTTCTGGGTAGCCAATCCTGATCTGTTGTACCCTGTAGAGACAGAAGATCACATTGGCCAAATAACTTAAGGAGTACAAGGAGCTAGGCAATTTTTTCCAGGCCCCCTGCCTGCTTCTATCCCCTGTTTAATCTCTGTGTGTTTTTTCCAGGCTCTGCCTGTTGAGGTTTCTACATGACAGTTTCAGCAGTCTTTGTCTAGTGTTTTTGGTACTTCTTTTAGTTTCTAGGTAGAAAAAAAATCTTCTGTTATCTGAGATGTAAGGTAGGTAGAAAAACAGCATTAATTCCTCAGTTGCTAGGATTGAGGCGTTATGAATATTTAGACAAAGAAATGGAATTATCTAATACCTGGTGATTACATTGAGGCTATTTAATTCACTGTTTCCCTCTGAGACATATGCAGCTGATATAGCATATTCCATTTTGAACACATTTGCACAGAGAGGTTCATTTTCTTTTTTAAATGAAAAGCCAACGTACTGGGTGATTCATATTTCTAGGGAAATATTCCTATAGGCATTTTTATCAATGAATAAGTATTCAACTTCAAAAAGTGAGTTTTAAATAAGAAGGAAGACTGGCTCATTTATTTTATGATACTTCTTGGTGAATGATCTCCAGGACCTTGTTTTTTTTTGGTTTTTGGTATTTGTTGTTGTTGTTTTGTTTTGTTTTTTAATATGATATCCAGGGGCCCCACTCCTGGCAAACACAAGTCTTAGGGAAAGCTCACCTCTACTTGTCCACATGGAGAACCAGTCAATTCCAGCAGCAAACACAGATGAGGGCATGGCTGTACCATGACTATTGAGATTCTGGGGAGGGCCCCAGTGGACTTTGCTCCATACCAACCTGGGGATGGGCCCTCAGTGTTGGACCTTCCTAATTCCAGAAATCTGCCTGTTAGGTCACAGATGGTCTTCTTCAGGCCTTTTTGAGAGAGAGACAGACAGACAGACATGGAGAATACACACTCAATAAATGACTGCATACCTTGAATGTAACTAAGGAGAAGGTGGACAACCCAGTGGAAAGACAAATGATCTGAGTAAGCATTTACAGTATGGGCTGCTCTGCTTGTGTCTAATGCAGCTTAAGGACACCCTAAAAAGGATGAAATTTGTTTCCAAATAAAGGAGTCCCCCAAAATTCCCCAAATAATATAAATATGATATATCTATCTCCTAAGTTGAAATCCATACCATCATGCAAATAAAGATTAGCAAATGTGCAAAGAAACAGAAAAATGTGATCCAAGTGAAGAGAAAATTCAATGAATAGAAACAGAGCCAGAGCTTATCTAGATTATAATAAAATAACAATCTGAAGACAACATTCTGCATGTCTAAGAAGGTGGAGGAAAACGTGAGCATGTAAAGAGGCAGAAAATACACCAAAAATTATTAAAATAAAATTGTCGACTAAAAAAATAAAACATCAAGAAAGAAAAACCAGGTGGGAATAATCATAGGTTGGATGTTGGCAAAAAAAAATCATAAACTCGACACAACATCAAAGGTGCAAAACTGGAAGCAGAAGATACTTATCAAGAAAAGGTATTGGAAGAATATCAACACTCCTCAGGGAATCTCAAACAGCTCAAAAAACGTGTAAGTGCAGTTTGTGTAGGAAACAAGAGGGCAGTCAGGTAAAACATTCAAAGAAGTCATGGCCAAAAATGCTCTCGTTTGATAGAAATAGCAAGCTTGCAGGGCTGGGCATTTAGTCTCACAACTGAGATGCTGGTTAGGACCCCTGAATCCCTGCATTGGAATAGCTGGGTGAGAGCCCCAGCTCTGGTTAATGAATCCAGCTTCCTGCTGATGCAGACCCTTGGAGTTGCTGGTAATAGCTCAAATAGCTGGGTCCACCAGTAGGGGATACCTGGACTGAGTTCCGAAATCCCGAGCATTTGGGGAGTGAACCAGTGGATGGGGACATTCTCACTCACTCAGGCTGTCTGCCTCTCAAAAACTCAAATTTTAGAGATTGATTTATTTATTTCAGAGTCATAGTTGACCAACAGAGAGGGAGAAGCAGATCTTCAGAAGCCAAGAGCTTCATCTGGGTCTCCCATGTGGGTGGCAGGGGCCCAAGTACTTGGACTATCTTCTGCTGCTGTTCCCAGGCCATTTGTAGGGGACTGGATTGGAAGTTGGGCAGCCAGGCCACAAAACGGCACCCATATGGGATGCCAGTGTTGCAGGCAGTTGCTTTGGCCACTGTACCACAACACTGGCACCAAAGAGTTTTAATTAAATCATCAATGCACCTGTAGTTTTCAGAAACACAGCAAATCCCAGTACATGAGATGTGAAGAAATGACCAAGATACATCATTACAAAACAAAACAAAACCCTTAAAAATCAGTGACAAAAAGAAAGGAAAACTAGTTGGAGGGAAGCAAACACATCCACGAAAACAGGGGCACCCAGTTTATTGTAGAACCTTATACCTTAGTACAACTGGCAAAAACTTCATGGTACGATATTTCTGCGCAGTCATCAAAATGCAGGAAGTACCAGGAATTGGCAGAGCAAAATTTCCTTGCCCTTTTAGGGCAGCATAAATCTATAAACCACTTTGGAAAACTCTTTGACAGGGTCTCCTAGCACTGATCATGTACATTGTGCCCAGAAAATTATACTCCCAATACAAAGCTCAGGAAACATGTGTACCTGCTCAGCAAATTGCCTGTTTCAAACGGGCTGTTAGTAATTGCCCACCTTGGTAGCACCTCAGTGCACAACAAGGACAGACTGAGTAATACAGTGCGCTAGATTCATACTGTGGAGAACCGTACGGAAATGAGAAGAGCAGTACTGGTTAACCTGGTCACCTGGTCAGTCTCAGAGGTGACACTGTGGTGCCACACGTGAATACAGATCCTAAGACTTATAAGGTTCAAGGCGGGCAAGGCTAACTCAGGTGTTGTAAATCATAGATGTCATGATGCTTGTTTGTGGGAGGGAGAGCTGGATGGGGCCATGAGGGAAAGCTGGGGGCACCTATTTCTGGGTTTGGGGGTTTGCAACAGGTGTGTTCAACTTGTGAACTTTCTTCACTCTGTATACTGTGTGCTGCTCTGTATGTCATACTTCAACAGAGTTTCAAAAATATGGGTTTAAAAAAGTAAGAAACTGTCCCAGACTGAAAGGGTATACATGGAGCACTTGACAATTTTTACCTGTGATGAGTAGAGGAAAGAGAATGGAATTAAAAGAGGGAGGAAAGAAAGAGATTGATGTTCAACTGTGGCTGATCTCCTTCTATCAGATGGATTTTTATGCTTTTGAAATGCGCTCTTGGGTTTGAAGTACTACCTTTCAAGCATTCTTATTTTTCAGTCCCAATTTTTTCCTTACTAAAGCCTCTGTGCCTGCTGTTCTCCCAACCAACCTTCTCACTAACCACCCCCAACCCTGCCACCGTGAGCAGCAATAGAGGTCAACTTTAATTCACTGGTGGTGAAATTATATCACATAGTCTAAATGGCCTTTTAAGGACATGCTATAAATCTTCCAACCAAAACATAGTGTCCTTAGCATTCCCATATATTTAATTACACCATTTTCCTTAAAACCATACTTCATATTCTCATTTTAATCCAACAATGGAGCTAGCACAGGAAGGCTCTGAACTTAGTATTTTGTTTAATAGGCAGCTTGCTAATTATGTAGAAAGTTCAAATGAGCATTCCAAATTCCTAAGAAAGTTTAACTATGACCACTTATAAATCTCTAAAATCCTCAATGAGAAAACTTAGAAATACTAAGTTCAAATGAAGTTTTTTTTGTTTGTTTGTTTGTTTGTTTGTTTTTTTGACAGGCAGAGTGGATAGCGAGAGAGAGAGACAGAGAGAAAGGTCTTCCTTTTTGCTGTTGGTTCACCCTCCAATGGCCGCCACGGCTGGTGCGCTGCAGCCGGCGCACCGCGCCGATCCGAAGGCAGGAGCCAGGTACTTCTCCTGGTCTCCCATGGGGTGCAGGGCCCAAGCACTTGGGCCATCCTCCACTGCACTCCCTGGCCATAGCAGAGAGCTGGCCTGGAAGAGGGGCAACCGGGAAAGAATCCGGCGCCCCGACCAGGACTAGAACCCGGTGTGCTGGCGCCGCTAGGTGGAGGATTAGCCTATTGAGCCACGGCGCTGGCCAAATGAAGTTTTTATACAGAAGAAAATAGAAATAAATCAGTTCAAGAGACATCAGAAAGAATGGGAAAAATGTTTGCAAGCTAAGGGTTAATATCTAAAATGTATAAGAATTTCTGAAAAAATCAACAGCAAAACAACAATCATCCCATTAAGAAATGGGCAAAGGACCTCAATAGACAGTTCTCAAAAGAAAAAATGCAAATAGTCAACAAATATTTGCAAATATTTGCATGGGGAAATACAAATCAAAACCTTCAATGTGGCATCACCGCACCATATCAGAATGACTTATCAAGAACAGTAACAGTGGTAAGGATATGGAGAAGATGAAATCTTAGGCACTACCAATGGGAATGTGAATTAGAAATGCAATGCCTCTATGATCCAGCAGTCTACACTCAAAACACATGAACTCAATCTATCAAGGAGACACCTGCTCCACCATGTTTATATCAGCAGTGTTCACAATAACCAAAATACGGGATCAACCAAGGTGTCCATTAAATGAATGGATAAAGAAAATATGGTATAGAATGCAATGGAATATTAATTAACTATTTAACAAAGAATAAAAGCCTGTCATTTGCAGCAAAGTGGATGGCACTGGAGTTAAGTACGCCAGACACTGAAAGGTAGATACCGCATGTTCTCCCTTATATATGGATGCTAAAAAACAAGACCTCAATCTGCACAGAACATTGATTACTAGAGGCTGGGAGGGAAGGAGGGAGGGATAAAAGGAGTATGGATTAAAAAAAAAATGGGGGGGCCGGCGCCATGGCTCACTTGATTGATCTTCTGCCTGCGGTGCCGCGACAGGTTCTAGTCCCGGTTGCTCCTCTTTCAGTCCAGCTCTCTGCTGTGGCCCGGGAAGGCAGTGGAGGATGGCCCAAGTGCTTGGTGCCTGTGCCTGCGTGGGAGTCCAGGAAGGAGCACCTGGCTCCTGGCTTCGGATCGGCGCAGTGCTGGCTGTGGTGGCCATTTGGGGAGTGAACCAGCAGAAGGAAGACATTTCTCTCTTGTCTGTCTCTCACTATCTAACTCTATCTGTCAAATTAAAAAAAAAAGCATATGTGCTGTACCTGCCTCTTTAAAAAAAAAATAGGGGAAACTGGGTGTAATTCATTCACTGTGAGAAATATGCTAATATGTGCTGTTAACGGGAAGTAGGGGGAGGGGTGTATGGGAACTCATGTTACTAACTTATAATTTTTGTTTTGTAAAATTGAAATAAATAATAAAAATACTGATAACCACATAAAGTCCTGGCAGACTCAGATGTTCAAACATGGAGGTCCAGTTTTAATTTATACTTTATCCTCTGCTTTCTGCAGCACTGATGTTCTAAAATAGTGTGAATGCTTAACTTTAATAGTGACTAGGAGCCTAGAACCAAATAGTGGTGGAAACTTTGCCTTGTAGATCAGTTGTGAGTTTTTTTTATTGTAAGCATCATCTTACAGTAAAACTATAATATAAAAATCTAAAAGGAGAGCGGCCTTATGTACTCAGAATGAGAATATGTATATATCATAATATTTTTAATTCCCTAAGAAAAGCAGGAAGTAACATTAAAGAAATTGGCTTGAAAGCACTGTGAGCACACCATCAATGCACAAAAAGACAACTTATCCCATAAATGGTGCTAGGGAAAACTGGATGCTGCATGTAGAGGAATGAGACTCCTGGGTCTCACCATATACAGATATATACTCAAAGTGGATGAAAGACTTGTATGGAAGATTCAAAGAGCTGGCATTGGGGTGAGTGAGAATACCTGCCTGCAATGCAGGTATCCCATATGAGCACTGATTCAAGTCTCAGCTGCTCCACTTTTGATCCATCTCCCTGCTAATGTGCCTGGGAAAGATGCCAAAGATGGTCCATGTGCTTGGGCCCCTGCCATCCATGTGGGAGACCTACATGGAGTTCTTGACTTCTGGTTTCCAGCTGGCCAAACATTGGCTCGTAGGGTCATTTCATGAGTAAAACGGTGGATAAAAGACAGATGATCTCTCTCCCGACCCTACCCTCCACCTAACCATGCCTTTAAATAAATAAATCTTTAAAATAAATAAAATGTAAAATTCAAAACTATAAAACTACTAGAAGAAAACTAATGGAAAACACTCTATGATACTGGTCTGGGCAAAGAATTTATGGACAAAAAAATCTCCCAAAGAGCAGAATGAGGTATCTTCTCACTCCAGGCACAGAGGTAACATCTCAGAGAACAGAACAGAACAGAACAACCACAATAATGGGGAAAAAAGCAGGTGAGAAATGTTGGTGAAGATGCAGGGAGAAAGAACTCTCGCACACTGTTGGTGGAAATGGAAATTGGTACAGCCACTAATGGAAAACAGTATGGAGTTTACTAATAATAATACACCTGAAGATAGAACCCTGTTTTCCAGCAATCCCTTTGTTGGTTATTTATCCAAAGAAAAAAAAAGCAGTATATCAAAGAGATATCGGCACTCCCCTGTTGATGGCAACATTATTCATTAATAGTCTTGATACAGAAACAACTGAGGTGTTCATTGATGGATAGACTGATAAAGAAAATATGCTACGTATTTTAGAAATGGAATCTTATTCAGCCATAAAAAGAACAAAATCCTGTCATTTGCAAAAACACGGATGGATGTGGAGATCATAATGTTAAGAGAATTAAGCCAAGAAAAGAAAGACAAATAAGATTTCTCTCAGACATAACAGAAATATAGAAGCATGGTTACCAGAGGCTGGTGGGGGGGGTGGGGGGGGAGGGAGCTGGGAAGAGGCTGGCTATTGGCGACAAATTCACAGCTGCAGAGGAAGAACAAACATTGATGTGCTATTGCACAGAGAGCCAGTGTAGCTAACAATATTGTATGATGTAACCCAAAAGAGCTTGGAGAGAAGGTTTTGCATTTTCTCCTCATGAAGATATGATAATTGTTAGAGATGATGGCTGATCTAAGTATCCCTAGTTGATCCATGCATAATCTATAAATGTACCAAGCATCACATGTACCCCATAAAGATGTACAATCATTGTCAATGAATCTTTTTGAAAGAAAAATGTTTTCATGGAATTCTGTGGGAAGTTTAATGCTCTAGTAATGAGTTTTTATGGTAGACACTTACTAAATTACTGCAGTGTTCATGGTCTGGTATGAAATGAACATTTGGTATTATAAACTTTGTTTAAATGTGGATAATAATAAGTTCAAGCCCTAAATATATATATATTTGAAGCATTTCAAGCTTGCTGAAATGACATGTCACTGAGGAGTAATTCTGTTACTCTTCCTCATTAATAATTAAAAACTAGCCTCGCAAGGTGATACTTTAAACAATCACTTCCTTATACCCACATATAACACTAATTCCACTCAGGACAAATTCATCTCATGATTTAATGTGAGTTCCAAGTCATAGCAGTTACAGGTACAGAAACAGCCTAAAACTCATGCTTTATGCCACATTTAGCAAACCACAATTGTTCTCTCCTTGCATTTGCTTCCTGCCTCATGTATCTCCTAATCTTTGATGTGCATATTGAAAATCTCACAAGTTCTCTGAAATTGATTGCATCTTCACATTTAAACTAGACAAATCTTATTTATTTGCCTGAATCACACATACTTCAGAAAATCCAAAACCTCAGGAAGTTCCTTAAATTCATATTGTCTAGAAATGCATGATTAAAAGAACACACTAGCTCACCCTGAGAGAAACAAGTTTATTTTTTTCAACTTTTATTTAATAAATATAAATTTCCAAAGTACAACTTTTGGATTATAGCGGCTTTTCCCCCCATAACCTCCCTCCCACCCACAAGCATCCCATCTCCCACTCCTTCTGCCATCCCATTCTTCATCAAGATTCATTTTCAATTATCTTTATATACAGAAGATCAACTTGGTATATACTAAGTAAAGATTTCAACAGTTTACACCCACACAGATACACAAAGTATAACGTACTGTTTGAGTACTAGTTATACCGTTAATTCACATAGTACAACACATTAAGGACAGATATCCTACATGGGGAGTAAGGGCACAGTGACTCCCGTTGTTGATTTAACAATTGACACTCTTATTTGTGACATCAGTGATCAACCGAGGCTCTTGTCATGAGCTGCCAATTCTATGGAAGCCTCTTGAGTTCATGAACTCTGATCTTATTTAGACAAGGCCATAGTCAGAGTGGAAGTTCTCTCATCCCTTCAGAGAAAGGTACCTCCTATTTGGTCCGTTATTTCACTGTGATCTCACATCTCACTCACAGAGAGCTTTCATTTAGGGTTTGTTTGTTTGTTGTGTTTTTTTTGTTTTTTGTTTTTTTTTTTTGCCACAGTGTCTTCGCGTTCCATGCCTGTGAAACTTTCATGGGCTTTTTAGCCAGATCCAAATGCCTTAAGGGCTGATTCTGAGGCCAGAGTGCTGTTTAGGGCATCTGCTATTTTATGAATCTGCTGTGTATCTCACTTCCCGTGTTGGATCGTTCTCTCTTTTTTAATTCTATCAGTTATTATTAGCAGACACTAGTCTGAAACAAGTTTGTCTTATGTGAAGACTGCTTTCTGTCAGGGTAGGAAGAACTCTTTGAAACAAGCTGCGCTCTTCCATACTATGCAGAATTACTAGACTGTAGTTAGGTTGGTTTCTGGTTGGAATGTGGCAGCATATTACAACATGAAGGTCTCAAGGCAGAGCAGTAAGAAGAAAACAGGCTAGTCACAAAAACCTGTGTGTGTTCATGTGGTCCTGTGAATACTACAAGGGGACTTCAAAAATTTTTTGGAAGAACAGAATTAAAAGATCATTTTGTTAAGGGAAAAAATTTGAGATCCATGTGCAGTTATTTAATAATGTACATGTTCATGAACTGCAGGAAGACTCCATGGAAGTGGAAAAGGTGGAAAAACAGAACTGTTCCCCATCAGTCTTTCTCGTCAGACATTCAAGTCTGTGTTAGCAAGGGATAGTGTGTGTTCATCCTGTCTCATTTCTGATTTGTAAGGACAGTTTGCTTTTAAGCTGTTATGTAAAGCTCAGTGCTAATTTATTCCTTATCTAAAGAGCCTAATTTACATCATGATTATTTGTTAGGCTCTAAAGATAGATAATTGTTCTCACCTTTTCCCTCTCTTAACTCAGCTTTTTAACACCTTTTCCAGAGTTTGCATAGATGATTTTTTTCATTTAAAAAATGGTCCTCAAGGAAGCTCTCTGTCCACTTTGCAAGTTAGAGTACATAAAGCATGTGTTAATATTAGAACTTAGAGAATTATTTTATCTGTATTTCACTAACATGGGTGTTGTCATTTCCTGACAGTAAATATAGATCACCCTAGGAAAATGGTACATGGCCTCTCCCTGGTGCTGAAGATGGCAGAGAACACACACACCACTGAAGATTTTTACCATAATTGTACAAAATCACTTTCCAGAATCAATTCTCTGAAAATTTGAATTACCTGTTAAACACTTTCCCTTTGCAAACAACTAATTAAGTACAAGAAGAATGTATATGCAATGCATCACACTTCCTATTTTTAACACTGGCTGGAAAATATGGCCAAACTCATTAATTCAGTTGAAAGGAAAATGTCTACACCATTGTATATTTTCAAAAGAACTGAAAACCTCCATTTAAATTCAAGACGTGAATGGCATGAAATAGAACCTCATCCATGATATTCTTGTTTCCTACTATAATTTGATTGCCTCATTACCCACTTAGGATAATCTCTGTACCTTTTCTTAGTACTTACTTAAAAACATTTTTTGTAGAATCCAAGTCTCCCTGGT